TCTGGAGCTGAAAACGCGTCTAGAATTGTGTCCGCCTCCAGCGGTCTTCTGGCCCACTGTGCGGCGGCGGCCGGGGGGGGGGCCTCCGCGTTTGATGCTGTCCCCGCAAGACCTCCGTCCGAGAGGGCTGCTGTCGTACCCGAGACCGGCAGTGGCTCATCGGCCATTACGCGACGCCCGCTGACAAATGCCCGCGATCAAGCACGTGTGGAGGAATGCAAAGGCGCTGAATCGATTAGGACCACCATATTTCACGCGCCTCGTCCGGACGCGGTCCAGCATCGTCTGTGTGTGTGTGTGTGCGCGCGCACGCGCGCGTGTGTGTGTGTGTGTGTGTGTGTGTGTGTGTGTGTGTGCGTGTGTGTGTGTGTGGGGGGGGGGTGCGTGTTAGGTGTGAGCGTTGGTCAGGCTGGTGGCCAGGGAAACACGGGGGAAAGAGGGGGGGGGGAGGGGCGTATCAGTTTGACCTTTTTGTCAGGTCGGACTCGCGCCCGGCCCGATCCCGCCTCGCTAACAATGCGCGGCGCGCGCGGCAGCATAACGCCCAGACGGAGAGTCCATCAATTGGAGTGGAAGGAAGAAAGCGGGGCCATTTGAATTTCAGATCCACTCTGCATTATTTTGTGGTGCTTTGGTCCACTTGGAGCCGTTTCTGAGTTGCGCGAGTAGGAGCGGTACGTGTCGAGACCGAGTTGGCCATTATGGACGCGATCGGGCCGAAGCTGTGCCATCGCATCCGGCAGTGAGATGATTTTGTTGCGTTCGACTGCGTCTTGCCCGGCGACGCTCCGTTTGGGGTGGACGACGACTGGCATCCTTTCCGGCGCATGATGAGTGTGAGGTGCGGTGGGGCAGTTCGTAACAAACGCCCACGTGACTCCTGCAGGTGGTAGGGCGAGGTGTCTTCTGAGGATTCTTTTTAAAATCCGCAATCGACACGGTGGCCAACAGACTTGAGAAGAGGGTTGAGTATTCCCCTGTTCTGTCACGAACCGCCCCACCCTCCACGGCGGAAACGGTTCCTGTGGTTTTCCCAGGGCCTTCCTGGAAATGGCGCACTATGCTACCTGTGCAAAGCAGGGACCGCTTTTGGGGTGGTCCTGTGGGACACGTGGAACGCCATCGATCCGCGAAAACAAGGTTACGTCGCGACAGTGGCGTGCAAGACTGGCTGCGCACGCGGAGGGGGGAAGATGCACTTGCCTTCATTACGGCCCTTCATCATCGCCCAAACAAGACGGAACGACGACACAAAATATCGCTCACGGTTATGAAGACTCGACTGGTGCCGACTGCACCACCGATTTCTCGACCCCGTCCCGCCCCGCCCCACTGCGAGGGGAAGGACGCGGCGCGCATTTCCCGGAAATGGAAGGCGATGAGTGGCGCGGCGACGACGACGGCACGGCGGACTTGATGGCGTTGGCGCGGCACGGTTCGTCACGGCGCCCACGCGCCTCGTCACGGCAGCCAGCACCCCTCGACAAGCCCCCCCCCCCCGCGCCGCCCCTGCAGGTGACCCGGATCCGGCTTTGGGAAAACGTATCGAGGGGTCCTATTCAAAAGATTTTATCTGCGCGTTCCCCCCAAGACAATCTTATCTTAAACGCAGGCGAATTTCACTCAGTTTGATCATTTAATACAGCTACAAATCAATATCATTTGTGATAAAATTCACTGAAATGTGGAGATGAAAGATCAAAGAAACCAAAAGTACATGTAAACATATATTCCGCTTACTCTCGTACGTGTCGCAACTGGTCAAACTGGGTGAAATCCGCATGCGTTTAAGATAAGATTGTCTTGGGGGGAACGCGCAGATAAGATCTTTTGAATAGGACCCCTCGGTATGACAGTCCGTTTTTTTTTTGTGCTTGCCGCCGCGCAGTTTCGCGAGTTTTTCGCCTAACGATCACCCGCGTCAATGGCAGGGACAGCGCAAGCATAGAGAAAACCAAACAGCGATGTCGGTCTCGAACGCTGACAGGAGAAGCACGCGCTCGAACTCTGCGCGTCTGTCAGCGCGTCGGTGCAAAGTTTCCTCAATCCAACCGACAGTTGTGTTTATCCCTGGCTCACAGAATTTCACTCGTCGTCGAGTGCGTAGCCAACTTTTTCAGCTCTGTCGGGTCCATCCCCGCCCGGCGGATCGGTCTATACGCTTCGCCCGTGTGTGCGTCTGGTTTCCCACACTGTTATTCAACGAGTCATATTCGTTTGAACGTGAAAAGAGCGTCACGTCACGTGAATACTACGCTTCATTCAAGCGCACCACTGGAAGAAACCACCCCATGCATAGATAGGGCAGGAGAGGAGCAGAACGGAGAACCACGCTTCAAGAATGGAGAAGAAATTATGTGCAATTTCAAAAACCAGTTTCGGTGACAGCGGAAAAAAAAACAACGAAAACTCGGGTGAAAATGAAAAAGTGCTCCGGCTATTTCCACTTTGACAACTCCGAACCAACGCATCGTATCGTGTCATTTATAGAAAAGCCCAATTTACGCTTAAATCCTCGACTTTTGGGGCATGCCGCAGTTTCAAACAATATCAAAACGCATGAAATGGCATAGTATTATTGGTCGGTTCCTAGTGGGAGAGCCCCATTACCGCTTCCCTACATCCGCGCCTGGCTTAGCTTGCGTCCCGAGTGGTGCAATTACAGGCTGGACCCGCACTTCACGAGGGTCCGCTTCGCGAGGAGCACCGGCCAATGCACAACACGACTAGGGATCTCCTAGGGAGATTCCTAGTCGTGTAATGCACCCGCCGAAGCGCACTGAAGCGCACCACTATGGGGCCTGCCTGTCCTGCCTGCCCCGCGGCACGCCCGGCACACCTGCAGGACCTCCAGGAGACGCACCTGCAAGCCCTGCAAGCCCTGCAAGGCGGCAAGCCCCGCACCTGAGCCCGTGACCCGCGGACTGCGACCATTCTTCAGATTCCGCACCACATTTTTTCTAACAGCGCTGTCGCCGTTTCCACAAGGCGCCGCGCCACTGCCTTTGCCTCTGCGCCGCGGCCAGACGAGCGATTCAGAAAAGCCGTTCGCTCGCAGTCATTCTCGCACGCATCTCCCTGAGGGTGCGAGAGAGACGGAGCGACAATCCGATCTTTTGGATCGCTCGGGCGCGGTGGTCGATGGAAACGGCTGGAGGCGGCCAAAGATTTCACATTTTTTGTCTTCGTTTTTCTTGCCTGGACCGCCTCTTGTCGCCCATGGGTGCGAGAGAGAGAGAGAGAGAGAGAGAGAGAGAGAGAGAGAGAGAGAGAGAGAGAGAGAGAGAGAGAGAGAGAGACCGAGCTACGAAGACGACTCTCCCTCGCTCGGCCGGCCGGCCTCCCCCGCGGCGGGGCAGGTTGCATCCCGCCCGCTATGCATGTCTGGACGACAGGGAATTGCGCCTTGTCACGCCTCGCCGAGCCACGCCACGCCTCGCCACGCTTCGCCACGCTTCGCCTCGCCTCGCTTCGCCTCGCCACGCCCCGCTTCGCCTCGCCACGCCTCGCCACGCCTCGCCTCGCCTCGCCACGGCAAACTTTTCAGTCACAACTATGCGACACGAAATAAGTTTCAGGGGACTTGGCTTCAGGATAAGGATTTCTCATCGTAGCGAGCAGGCTCTTGCAGGCCTCCAGGGCGCAAGGCGTCCAGGCCTGCACCGTACTCACATGAACCGCTGTGGCACTGCTGCTCCAAAGTAATTGGCAGACAGCTTGAGTCATCCAAAGAAAGCATCAGAACACGAAGCTTCGAGCCATGGAGACACACGGTTGGAGCATGTTGGAGCACTGTTGAACACGGATGGTGTTGAGTGTTGCAGTTGTATTACTTTTGGTTTCCGAATTTCACTCGCAGTTTCACAGTTGCTTCGATGACATTCGACCCAGTTGGCAACAGACGTCATCGCACAAAACTTTTAGAAACGGAATTATATTGATGCAAAGTTTACACGACCGCGCAAAACTAAGCTTAACGGCCATTTTGGCGGCTTTGTTTTGTTCGTTGCGGACGAACGACTGCGAATAGTCATTCGAATTTGGATTCGGATTCAGATTGAGATTTAGGAACGCTTGCGTACATAATAATTAAGTTTCTTCTAGTTCTATGTGTAATGACGACCTTTTTTATGCCGACTGGGTCGTGCGAAAGATGATTTATTAAATCGTCCAGGCTACATACTGTAAAATTACATATTGTAAGTTTTGAAAACTGTCAATAATTTTAAAGTTAATTGAACAGGTGCACAATGCCACTGTCAATTTCTCCAGAGCAGTTTTGGTTTCTGTTGGAACATTTTACTTGGAGGAAACTGAATGTGAGTGGCTCTACAGAGTGGCTCTGCGCAAAGGCGTCAATTGTCTTTTTCCCTGCTCCCACACTGGATCTGCGCCTTCCGCCGCGGTGCGCGGCGCTTGGATTGCGCTCCGCGGCACGCCGCCGCCCGCCGCCCCACGGCACCACAGCCAAAGCCAAAGCCATCCCGAATCATGAGTCAGTTCCTGCGCCATTACTAATCGCCGATACCGAGAAACGATTCGCGGCCGGTCGAGCGCGAGTGAAATATGAGCGGCCTGTCTGACCACGGCAGCGCGGCAGCGCAGCAGCGCAGCCACAGCCCTCCCCCGCACTGCCCTGGCACTGCCCTGGCACTGCCCTGGCACTGCCCTGGCACTGCCTGCACTGGGTCCCAACGGGGGCCTGCGCGGCCGGACTCCCTGGACCTCCTGGACCGCGAAAAGCGTGATCCGGTGCGCTGCCGCGCTGCGGCCACGAGGATGGCGTAGCGTGCAGCACGCCGCCGTGGCGGTAGGCCACCCATCGCACGGGAGAGAGCGAGTTAAAGGCGCCCGCACGCGGCGAGATAGGCCACCCAACGCACTTCCGAGTTCAAGAGACTTGTAGAGGGGCATGGCGGGGCGGCGCCTACTCGCGGCCCGTGGCCTTGCGGATGACTCACTTTGACAGGGCCGCAATGCATCTAGCCTGACGGCCTGACGCTCGAGTTGGCCATCCACAGCCAGCCACAGCCAGTAGCAGCCAGCGAGCCTCAGAGACGCTCGGCGTCCTCGCGGTCCTCGCGGTCCTCCGGTCCCTACGTCATGCTGTTGACGGCGTCGCTGGCCGTCGCGGCCGCCCTGGCGGCGCTGATTTGCGTCTTCTTCTCGTGGCACTTCGACTACTGGACGAAGCGCGGCATCCCGTCCGTCAACGCGCTGTCGCTGACGGGCGACCGCGGCGGCGGGCTGCCGTTCAACAAGTGCTTCTGGACGATACTGGACCCCGTCTACAACAAGTACAAGAAGGAGCACCGCTTCGTCGGCACGTTTCAGGGCCGCCGGCCCGTGCTCGTTGTGCTGGACCCGGAGATGGTCAAGATGGTGCTGACCAAGGAGTTCTCGTCGTTCCATGACCGCGGCAACCCCATCGACGAGGTGAACGACCCCATGAGCATCAACCTGTTCAACCTGGAGGGGTCCCGCTGGAAGAACCTTCGCTCCAAGCTGAGCCCCACCTTCACGTCGGGCAAGCTCAAGATCATGTTCCCGCTGATGGCGGCGCTCGCCGAGGACCTCAACGCGGAGGTGACGGCGCTGGCCGCGAAGGGCGACGAGGGGCAGGTGGAGGTGAGGGACGTCCTGGTGCGCTTCGCCACGGACGTGATCGGCACGGTAGCGTTCGGCATCGACTGCAACACCATCAAGGGCGGCAACCGGGACTTCCAGGCCATGACGCGCGAGTTCTTCGACAGGAACGTGCTGTTCCTCATCCGCCTCTTCCTCGTGTCTGTCCACCCCCTCCTCGTCAAGCTGCTGCCCTTCAAGATGCTGTTCGCCAAGTGCACCAACTTCTTCCTCGACCTGATGAGGGACACGGTGGAGTACCGCGAGCAGAACAACATCGAGCGCAACGACTTCGTGAACCTGATGATGCAGCTGCGCGAGCAGGACCGCACGGAGACGGACCGCGTGAACCACGTCGAGTTCAACGGCGACTTGATGGCGTCGCAAGCCTTCTTGTTCTTCATCGCGGGCCTGGACAGCGTCGCCAGCACGGTGGGCTTCTCGCTGCACGAGCTGGCGATGAACCCCGAGCTGCAGCAGCGCGCCGCGGCGGAGGTGCGCACCGTGGTGGCCAAGCACGGCGGCCTGACGTACGAGGCGCTGCGCGACATGGACCTCGTCGAGAGGGTCATCCGGGAGGCGCTCCGCAAGTGGGGGCCCGCCGGCATCCTCATGCGCGAGCCCACGGCGCCCTTCAAGGTGGGCACTCTGGCGATCCCCGCGCCTGCACTGTGTAGTTGTCGCTATCTGTCTCTCTCTGTCCGAATAGCTGCCGGGCACCGACGCCGTGGTGGACAAGACGTGCCTGGTGTGGATCCCCGTACACCAGCTGTCCCACGACCCGGAGTTCTTTCCGGAGCCGGAGCGCTTCGACCCGGACCGCTTCACGGAGGAGGCCAGGGCGCAGCGGCACCCCTACGCGTACCTGCCCTTCGGCGAGGGCCCGCGCTTCTGCATCGCCGAGCGCTTCGCCGTCCTGGAGATGAAGCTGGCCCTGGCCGCGCTGCTGGCCAAGAAGCGTTTCGTTGTGGGCGAGAAGACCGCGGTCCGGATAGAGTGCGACAAGCGCTTCTTCTCGCCCACGCCCAAGGGGGGCTTCTGGCTGCGCGTCGAGGACAGGGACGAGGACGACTAAGGCCGCGGCGGCCGCGGTGACGGCCTGGCGCGCCTGGCGACTGGAGGATGGATTCCGAACACTGCGCCGTCGGCGACGGCTCGTCGCTCGGTCTCGCTCTCGCTCCCGAGTAGAAAACTTCAGCAGATAAGGCCAAAGTAAAGTGTGCGTTCCGCGACCGTTGTACTCGGGCGCAAAAACAAAACGTAACGCTATGCAAAGCCAGTTGAAGCCGGACAACGTGAGTCCTAGCCTTGATCAAGCCAGTGTAGGGGATCGAGCACCTCTCTGTATGCGCTATTACCATGTCTGTTTCATGTCCCATGTCTGTTCCACGTCTGGGACATGTCTGTTTCAATTTTGCCGGTCAGCTTGGTTTGAATTGAGTGAATCAGAGAGAGGACAAACACAAACAAAGCACAACACGGGTGCAAATTATTCAAACATTTATTGAATAATAATGAGTTTCCTTTCTTCTTCAAATTTAAGTACTGGAAAAACTGATTTTTGAGGGAGAAATTTCTAGTTTCTGTGTTAAGGGCAGCGCAGGACAGCCAAACCAGAACTGTGCTGCTCTGCCTCTTCTCGCTGAACAACTTCTAAATATGTCACAAGAACTTTCGGGTGAAATCTCTTTAAGACATTTTATTCTGATTTTATTTATTCTGTGACAAGTCTCAGTAACAAAGAAAAAAGAAAAATTCTTTAACATTTGTAAATTATATGAAATATCTACTGCACAAAATAAAAACACAGTCAATAACAATTCGTAAATCTGATCTTAACAACGTATAATAAACAGTGGACATTCAACATTTACAACCCAAAGAACACGAAACACTCATAAAGCAGTCAAACGAAGTAAAAATGACGTCAAAATTATGCTTTTTATGTAGAAATTTTGACTAAAATTCGTTAAATTTACATCAAAATGACGTCACGGTGAGCGTTTCGTGTTCTTTGGGAAGGATCTAAGTATGAATCTTCGTTTCTAAGGAAAAAGAAGTATTATCTGAGGTCTTAATGTATGTAAATCATAGTTATCAAAATGAAAGCTTGTTTTAGTCTTTTGCTTTATATTTAGAAGCTCATAAATAACATTGATAAGTTTCTGAGTTTCTAAGCTCATTGATCACATTGCATAGAAATAAATATCTGGTTGTCAAAAATCACAACATATAAATTTTTATATACCTCTGTCGATGAAAACAAAATGTGGTTCTGAATTCTCAGGTACAAGGTGAAGAAACGTGAGGAACATCTTACAAATGAAAAGTTCACATTCTTCAGATCTTCCCAGTTCATGTGGTCCCTCCAACTACTGTATTCATGAAACTGCTTAATAAATTCACAAGCTCCTAAAGAAAGAGTTAACAAAATTAGAGTATAGACGTTGTAGGAAAGCACTGCAAATCTGGACATCAAAAATAGTAGCATCAATAAAACCTACATAAAACGTTTTGGATACAAATATATCACAGTAAGTTACCACACTCCACAAGATATAAATTTACATTCAGATAACAGTGTTTGTTCCATAATTCATTGATGCATCACAAGGTCAATTTAGGTGCTAGGTAACATTTTGAATCAACATGGTTCAAAAGAAGCAATGCAGATTCAGTCATCAGAAATTAGAAATCTAGTCTATGGTCATATTCCTCAAATTGGTGCTGCATGTTTGCATTCTGTAGATTAGGATTTCTCACGCCTTGCATCATGACTAATGGTCTTTGAGGATGCTGTTTGGAAATAGAAAACAAAAATTATTATTATCATTTTTGTAAAAAAAAATAATTTAAATCTTATGTTAAAAAGAAGATATTTAAAGAAGTACCTGCTGCAAAAGTGTTCGCAAACCAGGATTATTATTAGGGCGCACCATTCTTTGTTGGTTAGGCATTTGAGGCTGCTGCAATGACTGTTGCTGCTGCATTTGTTGCTGTTGCAGCTGCTGCAATTGCTGCTGTTGTTGCATGGCTTGTTGTTTTTGCTGCAATTGCTGCTGTTGTTGCATGGCTTGTTGTTTTTGCTGCAATTGTTGCAGTTGTAGCTGAGCTCTTAACTTTCCTTGATCATTCTAGGGTAGGAAAAAAATGATAATGATAAGGTAGTCATTAGCTGCTTCATATAAAAATTCCTTGATGCCCATAATAGTACCACATAACAAAGCTTACATCAAAAACTTGTTGGTTCATGTCCATATTTGATTGCATTTTCTGCTGCTGAAACTTGAAGTTAATAAGCTGACAAAACAGCAAAAAATAACAAAATGTAAGAATTCATGTGATTTTAAAAGTGGCGACAAAATGGTGATGATAGGTCTGAACATACCTCAAATTGTTTCAGTTGTTGCATATCGTTACTTTGCCCTTGAGCTTGCATTTGAGGGTTCATAGATCTCTGCATAGCACCTAAACCACCTCGAGCCATCATATTTCCTTGCCCAGTTACCTGCATGTTGGGTCCTCCAGTACTAGGGCCAGGCATGCGTAAACCCATGCTTCCATCAACACCCTGAAAAAATGCAAACAAAAGTTTTAAAAATATAATCAAAATAAAAAAGGTAACAGTTGTTTTTTGCACACTTGAACAACGTACTTGAATTCCTAGAGGGTTTTGAGTTGACATAGGACCAGAAGCCCCTACACCGGCCATATTGTTTGTGACTTGCTGTCCCATTGGTTGCGTTTGTGGACCATTCACTCCACCAGCTGCAACAACATTCTGTGTGATCTGGCCACCAACCACAGCCATTTGATTTGTCTGTGAAATCATCATTCCTTGCTGTTGTGCTTGCTGTTGCGCTTGCTGTTGAGCCTGTTGCTGTGCTTGTAGCTGCATTTGCTGGGCTCGTTGAGCATTTAGCTGTGCCAAGAGAAAGCGACAGTATAAAAATTGAAAACATTTCCTACCCTCTCATCTAATGTGTTTTTGGAAAGACAATGCATACCTGACCCCTTCCTTGCTTTGTTTGCTGAATCAATTTGCGTAATCTGTCGACAAAGCCTGTTTGGTCATTTGGAATGAATCCAAAAAATGCTCTTTTTTCAGCTTGATAGATCAACAGGAGGACTTTGATTTCACAAGTATTGTTAGCACTTGTAAAATGTACACAACCAACCTACGTTTGGAAAAAAGAGGGACAATTTAAAAAAAGGAATTGGTAGAAGGATGATGAAAAACATTTGCATTGCAACAAAAAGTTACGTTATGTTGGACATTCGACACTTACATATCCTGTCAATAGCAACTGTATTAGACTATCTAAAGCGTCACAAGGCTGAGGATGGAAGTACACTGACTTCGAATTTTTAAGAAAAGGAGCTCCAATAGTACTAATCAATGTTTTGGGCATCAACTGCATGAGAAGTGTCTCCGGCCAGGTCTCAGCAGAGCTGCAAAAGAGAATTCAGCCATGAACACAGGACAAGACTTTCCTTTCTTGTTCGAAGTATGAAGAAACATAGAGAATGCCTTACAGTCCTTGGAGATCTTTGGCAGCTATTGAAACTTGACAAGCCACCTGTCGTGACATTTTTGGTTGATTGGGAGCAGGTGCTTTAACTTGCTTTTCGACCCATTCTAAGACACCACTCCAAATAAAGTGCCTTTCTCCCTGCCCACCTTGCTGCGATTGTTGAACTTGCTGAGCTTGCTGACCCATCTGAGCTTGCTGCTGCAATTGCTTCTGGACTAGGGCCTGCTGCTGCTGTTGCTGCTGCTGTGCTTGCTGATAGATCAAACCATAAATTTGACTAAGAAACTTAATTTTAAAAAATCCATTTTATGAAGACTTTTTATTATTACCTGCTGAGCCTGTTGTTGCTGCTGTGGACTAGGACCAACTGTTTGAGTTAATCCTTGTGCTCCTTGCATTCCTATTGTGCCCTGGCCAGGGTTTTGTAGCTGACTTTGAGCAGCCATCATTTGATTTAGGCGCATCTGACCCGCTCCTGCTGCTGAAAAGTTTGAAAGGCATAAACAAATATAGGTACAGAAACGCTTTGGGAGGGCTCATTGTATCTGTTTCGGCAAATCTTACCAAACTGAGCAGAGAGCTGAGACTGATTAACACCTGGGCCAATGCTTGTTGGTGGTTGAGTTAGCTGAGCAATGAGAGCTGAGCTCTGCTGTGGAGTAGAATTTCCATTGCCAGCAAATCCTTGACCCTAAAAATTTTAAGACAGCAAAAATAACACCAAAGATATAGGATAAAATTGGATCAGCTTCACTCTTACCTGAAACTGGGCTCGAGCCTGTGCAGGGAAACGCCACTGAGGTCGGTTAATGCCTGCGCCTCCAGGCATGGCACCATAACCAGGAGGCTGTGGTGGAAACGGTGGTCTTTGACCAGTCATTGGTCCCACCATACCCTGTGCATTCTGTTGACCAGCCTGTGTGTTTTGTTGTTGCTGCTGTTGTTGCTGCTGTTGCTGAAGTGCTTGTTGCTGTGCTTGCTGTTGCAGTGCTTGCTGCTGGGCTTGTTGAGCTTGCTGCTGAGCTTGTTGCTGAGCTTGTTTCTGAGCTTGCTGTTGTGCTTGCTGTTGTGCTTGCTGTTGTGCTTGCTGCTGCGCTTGCTGTTGAGCCTGCTGCTGTTGCTGAGCATTTCCAGCAACACAAACACACAAATGCAGTTTTGTTACAAACATTAGCCATGGTGGATTGTTATAATCCAGTACAAATCCAAAAACAGATTCTTAGCTAACCTGTGCCGTTTGTTGGTTGCCCCGGAACATGTTGACCCCAGTCATGATGGGCGATTGCTGCTGCTGGCCTCCAGGCCCTCCAGAGCTGACACTGGCTGCAATGCTTGTGATTGGGCTTCCAACGTTTGGAAGAGGGCTGGACATTGATGGGATCACCATGCCAACTGGTGATGGCGGTATGCCTTGGAGTGAGCCCGGGTTTGAGCCTGGTGCTTGTGACTGAGGGGGCGTCAGTTGGCTTTGCTGCCCCGATTGTCCTGAAGGGGTGTGAGGTTGGTTGAGAATGAGCATCTGACTAGCATTTGGCGGACTTGGACTGACTGCGCGTTCCTGAAGACTGGACACAAACAACAAACAGGAAATAAGCCAACAATAGAAAATAAATTGATTCTTGTGTACTGCTTATGTTAAGACAGGAAATAAATGACACTGATGTACATGCCTATATCCTTTTAGTAACACTAAATGCCGGGGATCTTTGGCATAATTTTTGGTTTGGCTTAACTGCAGATCTCCTCCAGCTTCTTCATATAGTTTAAATAGGGAAGGCATTTTTCTAGGTGAAAGAATAGAAAGGTTGACACCATACTGAAATAAGTAAATAAGAAACAAAATAAACATTACAACCAATGAGCTTGTCACATACTGTGCAAGAAAAAATATTGAATAAAGGCATACTTCTTTAAGTAGTAAGGCTAGTTCATCTACAGTTTTTCCACAGAATGAAGGAGCTTCCATTGCGGGTAAAAGATAAGGTGGGGAATTCCCTATAAGAACACAATGCTTTTGGACAGCCCCCAATCCATCACGTTTCAGTTTGAGATCTTCAAAGCACTGAATGGCAGTGGCCAGTCCTTCAGCAACATTGGCATATGCTTCACCTTTCCCTCCCACCATTCTGGTACGACAAGGAAAAATCATGGTCATCCAAGAATGCAGGTTATAAGATTTGTAAAATAAAAGAGTTAAGGTAGTACATTCTTAAAAAGCTAAAAATTTGTTTAACACAATAAGACTTACTCAACACTATCAAGGGAAGCAAGAAATTTGTTAGGATTGTAGAATGGACCATAACTATCGCTACTTGGACTAGGTAAACAATCCGCTGCATGATAAATGACAAGACCATATATGACACTCTGACTCTGTAACAGATGATAAAAGACTGCATCCTCACAGGGAAACAATAAAATCCAAGGTACAATTTCATAAAATTAGAATTGCTCTGTTTACCTCAATATTATCCCAGTCATCTTGTTTGGTATGACTGAAGTACCTGTTCAAAGAAAAACAAATGACAGCTTGGGTTCATGCTGCAAAAATAGTTGAAATTTCAGAATACTTACTGTAATGTAGGTACAATATAATTTGCTTTTAGATCATTTAGGTAGGCTCCATTGATTGCAGTTCCCTCAACGACAAATATAATATCAGCTTCATGTTCTTCTAAAGATCCAGGGACCATGGTGTCGCCTAGAATTGAGAAGTGTAAAGAATTAAAACCACAAATAAACATGACATTGCCACACACCTCAAAAGAAAGTTGTTATATGAAGCATGACAACACTGACATTAAGAACAAAGAAAAGGGTAAGAAAAGTAGAATCCTTATTTTGAATAACTTAACGAAACAAAGTATAAACCATGAGCCTCAAAAAGGAAATCAATACCCAAAAATAATGTCTCTTTTACAACATTTTGTGGTTTAATTTGTCAGAAAAAGTTTTTAACAGACTCATGACTTCAAAAGAAACTGAACATACTCGAATAGCAGTTTTAAAGGTATTTTAATCGAAAGCGTTGATGAAAGTTTATTTGTGAATTATAAATCAAAAGAACGTTGATAACAGCAACTACAAAAGTTTGTACATTTGCCGAAAATTTGAAATTCTACCAACAGTGTCTCACTGACGATTTCGTTTGAGACTAATTTTATACGATGTACACAGCTAATCAAGTCATCAAAACTGCACCTGTTTTCCCACTTTCCCAGAATAAATTTCTTCCTAAGCAGCAAGACAGAATATGTACACTTGTTGGCAAGGGTATGTTTACCACGTGAGGTTATGTCGTCGGCTATGAAGGTGAAAAAGTCACCATTGCGTAGCGGCGTATGAGAAACCTACAGTTACTGAGAACCGCGCTTCCGGTCCTGGTTAGGTTATGTTGCCCGTTATTCGACATTCGACCCATTCGACGTGCTGCCTGCGATATTAGCTCATCTTTCTTTCTGGGAAACCCTAGATTGTTTATTGAATAAATTGACTTTCCTGACAGTCCAGCTTTGAGTTCTTGCAAAATGAGTGACATGTTTGGATCTGGTAGCTCGAATTTGGGGGATGACACCAACAAGGAAAAGTTGCAAGAGGAACTTCAGCAGCTCACCGCTTTATCAGAACTGCAAGCCCAAGTAATGGATTCCATAATCATTTAGTACATCTTTGAGTTTGTCTGCATGCCTCGTAATTGATTTATTTAAGTACGAAGTAGCTTATGAATATATTGGATAAACAGTATTGGAATACATTCTGAATGTTCAGATCTCAAGTCCGTTCAGTAGGAGTATGTTTTCAATGTGCTTATTAACTTTTGTTTCAGGTCGTTGAATTTACTGACGTTTGCTGGGACAAATGTATGGGAACACCTGGAGCTAAATTAGATGCCAAGACCCAGACATGTATGCAGAACTGTGTGGAACGATTTCTTGACGTGACTATGTTTGTCACCAATAGGTTTGCTCAAATTGTGGAAAAAAGCCAACAAATGAGATGAAATTTACCAGCAGTAGAGCGTATTAGTCAAGTCAAAAAGTGCTCTTGTTTATTGGTTACACAATTGGCCACTCAACTCTTGGTTGTTGCTGTCTGGATTTACGTCTGTGTTATGAGTGTAAGTGGTTCGAGAGTAGTTATACATCCATGTGTAAATGTGTTTCTTTTGTAGAATTAAGTTCCTTATTTTCACTACAATAAATATGTCTAATATCATTTATTTGTGACAAACTCTTATTTCTTCTTCAAGTCAGGCCTCATCTTAATTGGTGTCGAATGGAGTCAACACTTCCAGCATATCTGGAATACTCAAGTGTGGCTTCAATTTGAAGAATTTAATTTAAAGTACAGGCACTCTTACAAACTTTGTAACTCAAGGGCTTTCCAGTTAACTCATTGTTTTACTTTGCCCTCTGCTTCTTAAGCTTAATGAAGTAAGAATGTTCTCCAAAATTGGGTGTAGTACTAGTTTCATTCTTCTGAATGCAGCAATGCAATCCATTCCAAACACAAGATTATACATGTCCAGCATGTAATTCTCTTCAATTGATGCTTTCATGGTTCAAGGACAAAAATGGTTAATTTCAAGAAGTGACAGAACTTCTTGACATCAGAACCCACACAACTCTAATGATTAAAGTCAAGCCAAGAAACAGAAGAGGTAACACTATTAATTTAAATGAACCATTTATCCGCTCAGTCTGAACACTGATGTTTCCTTCCGTCATTGAGAATTTTGGACGTAAGGTTGAGTCATTGGTTCTCAGTCGGACAGTATTATTAACAACCGTGACTGCAGGCTCACTTTGAACTTTGTCCAAAGACTCCAAGGGTTCAGCAATCATACAGTGCTTTTGAGTGCCTATAATCTTAACCCTGATCATTTGGCCAAACATTTTTGGGTCTTGAGGCACCAAAACCTATAAAGATTTTAAGAAGTTAGACAAACATATGACTGAAAACTGGTTACTGAAATGATCCCTCCTTTACTGACCTGTTCATAAAACTTGTTGTGTCCAACATAATGTTTTTTATCATGGGATAGTTCAGTAACCAAAACATCTTGAATTTCTCCCAGTTTGTGGCCATACGGTTCATATGACTGAAACAATTCCGACAATTTTTTTGTCCTCTTTTTCACCTGACCAGAAAAATTTATTAAATACAATTTGTCAGCAAGATTAAAATGTTCCCATTTAGTACAAGTAATATCAAGTACCTCCTGTGTAGTGGCCACTCGAGGCATTTTTGCAGCAGGAGTTCCAGGTCTTGGGTAAAACTGGTTGATGAAAAGACTTGGAAATTTGTACTTGGCACATAAGTCAATGGACTCTTCAAAATCAGCCTCTGTTTCTGAAGGAAAGCCACAAATTATGTCTGTTGCAATGGTGACTCCAGGTACCCTGTTATGTGCACAGATTCAATGTTTTAAAATTTGAATCAGTAATGAAACCACTCTAAGCACTATAAAATTTATCTATATTACCTTTCTTTCAGAAAGTCAACTACATTTTCAAAATCTTTCCGGCAGTATTCTCTTTTCATGTCAGTCAACACAGCGTCAGAACCAGATTGTACAGGGACATGAAGGAAGCTATACACCCGAGGATGGGACAAGATTTTAGCCATCTCCTGAAATTAATTTATGGCAAACAATAACAAAATCTGGAACAAAGTGTCAAGCAGACAACAAATTTATAAGCAATTCACAGACCTCTAAATGCTCCAAAATATATGGTGGATTTGTCATTCCTATTCGCAGCATGCAACCATCAGGAATAATGTTCACAAGTCTCCACAGTAACTCTGGAAGACTTGTCCCTAGATCTCTTCCATAAGTCCCTGTATCTTCAGAGGTCAGCCATATTTCCTTGACACCTTCAGAAAATGACTGGAGGGCTCGAGCAACAATTTCATCTGAGAAATTAAAATAGTTAAAATATTACATTATTGATTAGGTGATGAAGTTTTCTATACTATACACAAATTTTTAATAGAGTTAAAATTAAATCTTACCAGGCGGATAACTACCAAGATCTCCACGAGCATGCTTAGTTTTACAATAAGTGCATTGATTCAAGCAACCAGTATTGATAGCTATGATTTCAATAAGATCATTTCTTCGAACTTTGGGGAGCTCCAGTGAAGCTCCTCCTAACTTTCGTCCACTTGCTTTTTTCTGACCAAGAAACCGCACAGAATTGCCTTAACAACAAAAACACCTCAATAAGTGATTAAAAAAGCAACAGTCAATAAAAACATTTCAGGTACTCGAGTAGTACCTTTGAGGGTTTCTTCCACAACTTCAACAACACGATCAATTTGTTGAACACCAATGACACTTAAGCCACGTAAGTAGTCAGCTTTTGGAGCTCCTTGGGGTACACAGCCAGCAAGAACAACACGTTTTCCTAAACGCTTAGCATCTGAGATTTCATTACGAAAATGGTCTTCTGCAGGGTTTTTTACAGTGCAGCTGTTAAGCAGCCAAAGATGAGCATCTTCTTTGATATCTAGACACAATTGAGACAAAGTTTTCTATTTAGTCAAGAGACAGGACAAATTAAAAAGTTAAATTCTTTATTGTAGCATGTAGATGATATTACCAATCAGATTATAGCCATAAGCAGCAAGCTGCCCCGCCATGTATTCACTGTCAGAACTGTTATGAGTACATCCCCATGTCTTCACAAAAACTCTAGCTGTTCCTGGAATCTCAGGCAAGTTTTCAGGTTCAACATCATTGTCTTCTTGACGTTTCTTTGCACGATAAGTAACAGTCCGGCGTGAGCTGTACCGCTCCTTCGGAGTGATGTCCTGGGCTGATATCAGGTCCTCTATATCATCAATAATCTCATCGCAAACACCAGGCATCTGAAAATACAAAAAGGCGTCACCCGACAAAGATAATATATGTGTTGATTGCACACTGACTGGTGAGGACCGTGCCTTGGCATACAAATATTAAGAATACTACTGTGATGTTGTTTGAAGTTAATGTAAGATTTAACAAGTTAAAATAAATAGAAATAAGGCTAGAACTGATCTTACACTTACAATTAAGCTTTGGTGCAGGGTTTCCCTTCTACGAATCACGATCGAATGATTCAACCAATGATTGAGCCAGTGGGTGGCGTAACTTTACTGCTGTGTTCTCGTTCTCGTTAATGTTGCCATTTGTAAGCACGCAGAACTTATATACAAAGTACATGTGCTTCCTTACTTGAAGTTGAAGGTTAATTTCTCACGTAGCACATACTTCTCATACCTCAACGAAAGTAAGGAACGAACAAAAACCAACAAAATAACCAAACAACAACATACGGAAGGGGTGTCTGTGAAAACTCTCAAACAATCAAATAGATTGGACGGTGGCCTTCTTAATCAGGAGATGAGTCGTAGAGGACTTCAATGCTTGACCTTTGAGAAGAGAAGTTTCAAGACATTACAAGTTGGCTACATTCACTTTCATAACCCCTTTTTAACCCCTCGCACTATGTGCCGTACAAGCGGAGAAGTAACCGGCTAATTGTCAAAATTTATCGGTTCCATTAATAGTTGATTGTTACTCTGCAAGTTTGTACATGCGTGTCGGTGTGAGAAGGACAAGGGGTGATTACCAGGTGCTGTCAATCATTATGATGGTTGTTATTGGTTTCCCTATTCTGAAGCACAAACAGGGAGCATCTCATCACAACTTGTATTGTTTTAAATTTTACTTCTTTTAAAATTCATTTTTTCAGTTTATTTAATTACTTTGCCAACCAAAACGAAGTGTGGCAAGAGTGTCAAGATGATGGATATATTGTTTGATGGTGAAAAAATAAGCCAGCACGAGAGTGTTAATGGTCATATAATCTTGCTTCGAAAAAGAACTATAGGGAAATCTGTGTGCGTTGAGTACACAGTTCAGAAAGAAAATTTACCACTGTACAAATCTGGAATATTTCATCTTCTATCAGTTTCTGTTTTACTTCTCTCTGTCAGTGCATATGCCAGCTCATTGCTTGGCATTTTATTCTTTGCGCTTTTGGGCTTAATACTGTTTTACATCCTGTTTTGGGATGTTGAGAAAGGTAATATTATTAGTTATCCCATATTGTTTGTAATATTAAAAATACTTTTAAAATTGTCAATGTATATTTTGTTTTTCAGAAGTCTTGCTTGTGACTGTTCCACTTGGACTGCAGTTTACTTCCTTCTTCAAATCAGGCCAACAAACAACATGTTACATTCCGTGGCACTGTGTCAAAGATGTATACATTATAGAAACTGTTTCATTTGTGAGTATAGTTCTCTTATTGTGTCAATGCATGCTTGTCATCCATCTCCTCTGACTACACTTACATTTTAATTTCTAGCACAGGGTGTTGTATAATCTTGTGGTTTTGACACAACCTGATCAAGATTCCAAGCAGTCATCTCAGAAACTGATTCCCCTTTTTCAGGCTAGTATTCCAGATTGGCCAAGCATTTATTAAAATGAAAATTATTTCCTTTTTTGTGAGGAAGTCGCTGTTACTGAACTTCCAATGTTTACTTTGCAGGGAACAAAACCTCGCATCAGTTGCCTGGAAAAAATATATCAAGGAATTTATGATCTTTTTCCAGAAGAAAATTCTAAAATCTAACCACACATCTTGTTTAAATTCCTACCCAGCGAGAATTCTTGAGATCATTATGATGAGTGAAATTAGTTCAATAACTCAAAAAGAGTATTTAAATTTGTATTTTGTGAATTGTATCTGTGACAACTATTGTTAACAATTAATTCTATCCAAAAAGACAAAAAGAAATCTGTAATAATTCTTACGTGTCACCTTCACCTGTGCTTTTAAGCGGTGGCTTATGTGGATTTCCATCTGGCTGTTTCTTACTCAATGTTTTGATGAAATAGGACACACAAGTAGTTGAGCTTTCAAGAAAACTCGGTTTAAAAAATTCTGCAGTATGTCGAAATAATTTTTGAAAAGTGCATAAACAAGAGACCACTCACTTTGTTTTGGGGCACTTGATGCAAGCAGCAATCTCAGCACCTTCTTCATAACAATGAAGGTCTTCCCAGTCAGCCACATGCACGGAAGAATCTACCTACTTGGCTCGTCTTGAGCAGTATGTTGAAGTTGCGCAGCTTTTACTTGTATTTGAGTGCGAAAAAAAAAAAATCTGCTGAGAAATTTTTATGCTGAGCAGCATAGAAGTTCAGAGCAAGATGCTGTGCTGTTACAGATAATGATAGTGAAGACAAATCACACTTTGGAAAGGAGCAGGAGGTGAGGTGGAAGATCCGCCTACGATGGTAGTACAGACAGGCGTCAGGCCGTCTGACTATGAGGTGCGACATATGGAGCCCGTCCGGTCGAGAATAGAACAGGCGTCAACAGACGGAAATGCGGGCACAAACGAGACCGAAACGGGGAAAAACAGGTCATGCCTCGGAGCTTGAGAGGTACAAGGTTTAGCGACAGGAAGCATGCCGCGATGGCAATGAGTGCTGTGCTGGACACTAACGAGTATTGAGAGACAACATACAACAGGATGACATCATTGCCAGTCACCGCGAAGTTATATCATCGCTCGAATTAGGACGTTGTCGCGACATATCAATGTTATAAAGAAGGAGGGACCATGTGGAAGCTAAACTGAGAGGAGTAGCCCACAGAACATTTTATCAGTTTTCTCTAGACACAAAATAGATTTCCCACATTACAGCTGACTAAAACATTGATTGAGCGTTTTAATAATTACACAGACTGATTGAAAAATGCAATATGTGTAGAAGTCTCTGTCACCATAATCGAACAATTTCTTTTCTCTGACATTTTGCCACTGCAAAATTCCTTGATTTGAATGCCACACATTTTCCCCTGACTTTCCCCTACAGGGCAAAATAAACAGCAACAAAACTCCAAACAGATTAAAAATAATAAATTTATTGCAGAGTGGACAGAATTCTTTTTTTAAAAAAAGTGCTTAAAAAAACAGTTCATTTGTTTTCAGGATTGACAGGACGCTTGGCAATGTATGCAGCAATATCTGGCTGAGATTCAACCGTCTTGACCAGTGCTTGAAGACCAGGGTAGCCCACCAGAAAATCATTTCCAGTGAGAGCCTTGAAGTAATTCAGGGGAGCCACAAAGTAAATGTCAGCCCAAGTGAGCTGGAAACAAAGAAAGATTATTTAATAAGCCATTTTGAAAGCCAATAAAATTTCATGACATGATGCAAACCATCGCCAGTACAGTTGAATAGCTGTACTTACTTTGCCATTGACAAGATAACCACCGTTGGCCTTCACAATTTCCTCAAACTTGTTCAGATAGAATGGAATCTGTTCTTTGAACAGAGGTCCCTCCTTAGCAGCCTTGCTCTCTGGGAATGCATCATAGTACCAGCCACCAATCTCTGTAACAAGTGAGGTTCAAAGTGAGACTAATGTCAAGTTAAATGTAACGTAAAGACAACAAGAAACTTACTTGTTCGGAAATCACCGAAGAGGTCAACAGCAATATCAATCTGAAGATTTTCCAGGTCATCCTTACCAGCTAGACCATACTGCTTCGCAAGGTACCTTGAGAGCGCAACAGACTGGGCGTGAAATTTACCATCTACATCCAAGACTGGCATCTGTCCAAAGGGCATTTCTGCAATAAAGAAAACACTGGTGAGACAAATTCCATTCCTTTCTCATATAATTTGTTGCTGACACAGGAACTTACTCGCTTTAACCTTCTCCCAGTCTTCTGCTTCATAACGGATATCTTCCCAATCAGCTTTGCCGTAGGCAAGGAGGTATCGAACAGGCTCGCCCAGGGCAGTAACGTTGAAATAGTGGAGCTTGTACTTGGGTGCCATCGTGTCTGGGAAAGAAACAAGCTCAGGAAGTTAGATTTGTACTTGACAACAGCCTGGATGACAGCATCGGGTTGTGCAATCCATCAAAATCAATTGAAAAATGGGAGGGGGGGGGGAGAGATGTATATATCCGGGCCGGGGAAGATAAGATGGCGGCCATGACGGTAGACCGCACGGCCCCAACAAGGGAAAAGCCCGTCAAGTAGAATTTATAGAATACAGTGTAAGAGTCTTGGTTCCACGGCGTAAACAGACAGAAAGAGCCGAAGCTCTACTACCAACAGCAACCTGCCAAAAAGAGCCAAACTGACAGGTACTCTCCGCGTCCGCGTAGCAACACTAGAACGATCTGGACAACTAGAGAACAGTTATAGATAACCGCAGTTACCAATGGTGCGCACATGAAACGGTTACTTGTTGCTGGACATCGTCCTTCAAACACGACAATTAGAGCGACTGAACGGGCAACGTTAGTCAAGATAGTCAATGGCACATATAACTGGAAAGGATGAGACCTATTGACTTACCGTGTAGTAGTTGTGAAAGAGGGCGTGTGAAAAATGAATGAAGAATGACAGTTATACGCGAGACGACCGGCCGGGCGAGTGGAACTGACGGGAGGGCCGGACGCCTTTTATTGCTCCACCTCCACCACGAAGAACGAAGGTGGGGGTAGGAAAGGAAACAGTCTTGCCTTCACTGGTCTTGCTCGCACGGCAGTGTGGCTGGCAATATGGTGAATCCGGCTCGCATACAGCGGTTCGTCTAGAAGCTCAAGATTGGTTCGAACACTTCACTACGCTTTGACGAGGAACTTTAGAAAATAGTGATCTACTGTCCTCCGTCCCTCGACATTTTCTCGGTGGATGATGGCGAGCGTGCACGGGGACCGGAAAGGAGTTGCCTGACTGCTGATTGGCTGACGGCTATGTCATCGGCAGGTTCTAGCAGGTTCCGGTACTGGTAGACTAGATTTGTCATAGTGACGCCAAGAAGACGGCAACGAGAAAAGCGGCAGCGTGTTGTGTTGAGGTGGGGGTGGTCGGTCGGTCGGTCGGTCGGTGTCGGTAGCCACTTCAAGCAGTAGCAGTAATCACGTCTCGTGAGGGGAAAGGAAAGCCGGAAAAGCGGCTGAATCTCTTGGATCTCGTTCTCGCGACTGTGAAGTGAACTATTCTGGTAATGCTCTACACTGTATACGGTCTCTATCAGTACTTGATCTTGCTCTGTGTATTGGGCTGGGCGTTCTTGCGCGTCGCCGGCTTTGTTGTGTTGTGAGTCGACAATGTTGTGGTGGTCCTAGGCGGGCAATCTCAACTTTGTTCCCCTCTCATTGTTAATGTTTTGGTTGTGTTGTGATTGTGCCTCTTCGTGACTTCTTGTCTTCTGCATTTTAAACACCTTTATAGTGTTGTCGTTGTGTTTTTTTTCGGGTGTGAAACTGCTGTATCACGACCTTGTAGGTTATGGTTGTTATCGTTTCTCTAACTTCGCACCGAAAGTACCACTGTACTACACTGTACTTCTTACTCGTGTTTATTCTTGAATTTCTCGTTGGGATGATCAAGCTTTTACCTCTTCCAGAGTTGATTGATCGTACCGATAGCTAAAATTTTTATTGGTAGAGATTGATTTGCGGCAATTGCTTTGTTATTATGAGAGGATGTTTGATTTCAGGTAAATTAAGATGTCTGCATTCACTCCTGATCAACTGAAACAACTGCAGACCTTCATAGAAGTCTGCAAGATGCAACCGGCCATTTTACACATGAACGAATTCAAGTTCTTCAAAGATTACATTGAATCTCTTGGTGGAAAAGTACCTGCCGCAAGCGCTGGCCCCAAGAGCTTTGTTCCGAACCCCGAGCCTAAGGTTGAGACACCTCCGGAATCAGAGCCGAAACCAGCTGAAGAGAGTGAAGAGGAGAGTGATGTCGAAATTGACAACGAAGGGGTTATTGGTAATTAGTTTTCTTCCTTGGCCATCAAGTCTTGCTTGAATTTCGGCACTGCGTCCTGGTTTTTACTGATACTTCACATTATTGTATGTTTTAGAGCCTGACACTGTTGATGATGATGTTCTTCCTAATCCTGAGAAAGAAGTATCAGAAGAAGATCTAGAAAAGTCTAATGAATCACGATCCAAAGCAATGGAAGCTTTCCAAAGAGAAGATTTTGAAACTGCTATTCAGTTGTATTCAGAGTCTATTGCTCTAAACCCTGGTAAGATTTTTAAATTTTTTTTTGTTAAATCCTGTTATTTTAAATTGTAGTTGTTCTAATATTCTTCCTTTTTATCCTAGGATCTGCTGTGCCTTATGCGAAAAGAGGGCAGACTTATCTGAAACTGCAAAAACCCAATGCCTGCATTCGGGATTGCACCCAAGCCATCAAAATCAACCCTAACAGTGCCATAGCTTTTAAGTTCCGTGGACGTGCCCATAGACTGTTAGGCCACTGGGAAGAAGCAGCTAGTGATCTCTGGTCTGCTGCCAGGATTGACTTTGATGAACAAGTTGATGAGTGGTTGAAAGAAGTAACTCCAAATGTAAGTATGTTTCACCATCATTACTGTTTGTACGGGTTTGGTTGAACACAATCAAAACAGCCATGGGTTCCCTGTGATTGACAGAAATGAGTTGAATAAGAAGTAAACTCAACATTAGTGGTAGAAAATTCACAGACAACTCCTAAATTTTTCATAATTTTTTATTGTTTTTGTGGATTTTTTTTTTAATATCCTTAAACCATACTTTTTCATGGGCGGTTTTAAGGGTATTTTTGCAAGTGTGGGGGAGGTAAAGTGAGGGAAGAGGAGAGGGATCGCATGTCTGCACGCTGCTAAGAAAAGCACCGCAAATTTTTAATTTCAGGTTTTTCAGGAAGGTGACCCTTCAACCGCCCATGTAGCTTGTTAACATAACTTTTAATTTTACACTCACAGCATCCCGCTAGGTCTCTCACGATTAGACTGGAGAAATTAATTATTCACATTATTTTAATGATCCCAGTTTGGTGTATATATCAAATTTTTTCTCGAAGACGTCCCTCAAAGAAATAGTGCTACACAAAACTTAGGAAAACAATATCACTACAAAATGATGGACCCTGTCAACAGAGATTGGTTAACCTATTTTCTGCTCTCCAAGCCTTTTTTCTTTTTTCTTCTGTTAAGAAATAGAAGGATAATGTAAGAATGCGCTACAGAAGAATAAGCCAGCAAAGTTGCTCCCAGAATAGTTTCAATTTTCATTAATTTTCTCCTGTAAAAAAGAGGGTGATCTAAAGTGACTGACAGTTCACCAGCACCCCTTTTTCCTCTCATATGCAACTTAATATGAGATCTGGAGCCAAAACTTGCACTGTATTACGGGAGAGCTTCGATGAGGAATGATGAAAGCTGCTTATCTTAGCAACACCTCTAGAGCTTTTGTTTTCTTTTGAAAACCAGACTTTAAGAGGTTATACCCTATGCTGTTACGTTTATTCTTCTATCATATTTGATGAAACTGACCATTTTTGTGGTCAGTAGCAAGTGACCAAGTCAACAAGGTATTGTGCTGTCCCTCTTGGCAGCTCTCTTTCTCTCTCTCTCTTCTCTTTTGTAGATTGTCTAGCCACAATGATAAGGGAACGATAACAGATACAACATACTTTCTGTCTTGATTAGAAAACATGATTAAAATGCTGTACAATTGTGCATAGACTCCACCTCATTTCAAATGGTATCACATCACCTTTGTACTCATTTAACACAATTCAAAGATTCAAAAGTCTACTAGATCATTCATTCTCTTTCCAAAGAAAGCAAAAAAAAAAAAAAATTAAAATGTTATTTGAAAAATGGTTTAAATTTATTTAAATTGGCAATGAAAACTTAAGGAATTTTACATGATCTTTAGTGTATAACAAAATTGAAGCAGATGAGATCTTAAAGATAGTATAGTTAATCTTCGTTTTTGTCTTTTAAAAGAAAAAAGTAAAGTGACTTGCTTCATTAGGACAGCATTGATATTTTTTAAATGCTGAGGTCTCGTGCCAAGTTCTTGTAAAAAAATATTCAAGTCACTTTAAATTGAATGATATTTGCAGCTGTCTCAGTAAGATAAAGCTGTTCTGTCCTGGGGAAATATTCTATCACCAATTCAATATTTTCAACTTTTTGGCTGCTTCTTCTCATACTCTGCTTGTGCATCTTCTACACTCTTTTTGTATTTTCCAATTAATTCGGGCAAGTCATATGCAATGGCTACATCAAGCCTATTGATAGGGCACCCTCGGAAATACGTGCATGTTGCAGCGAGTTGTTGGAACTCAAAAAGAGGATTAAGCTTGAAGAAGTCCCGGTATGTCTCAGGATCTGGCAAATCGTAGCGAGAGATGTTAGTCAGGGTACTTAAACCTTCATAAATATGGTATTCCTGGGGATGCTCAATAATGTCATCTGCAGTCTTCTTCTTGTTTCCAAAGAATGTTTTGTGGTTGTAGTACGTTGTGAGGTAGCAGTCCACCATTTTGGCATGGTTGCGCACACGAACCTGATTGATTAGAAAATATTAATAATGGCAAATATTTTTGTGGATGAAGTGAACAAACTTGCATCATTATATAATGATTTGTTATACTCACAGCAAAACGACGTGCACTTGCTATTTTATTGTCCACACGTTTGAAAACGGCTTCTCGTAAGTCTCGAAGGAATGCATGTTCTTGAGCTTGTAGTAAGCGAATGGGTGCCCCGTTCTCATATGGCATTGACCACAATGATGTTGAATACATAATAGGTGGCTCAGCACTTGACATAAGTGGACTAATATTCCAAATTAAAGTTCCCTGAACCCTCATTAGCTCTTCTGGTTTTACTTGATCAGCCTTGTTGAGGATAATTCGAGTCTAAAACAATGAGAGGAAAACATAAGAGAAATATCAACTTCCGTAATACCTGTATACATTTTTGATTGGAAAGGAAACTTTGTTTTCCTTGCTTACCTGATATTCTCTACCCTTCAGCTGGTCAAGGATGGCTTCTGTCTCAGGCCCAACATCCAGTTTGGAAGGATCATAGACAAGGAATATAATATCTGCTCGGTCAATGAACCATTGACAGGCATCATTGAAAGGGAACATGCGCTCCACTTGCTTCCTGATTTCCAGGATGCCAGGAATCTCAACAATGTTCACCTTTGGGAAAATCAAAATTTTATTGGGTGTTTTGATTTATTGTCACTGCTACTTGTCTCTTTCTATTACCTTTTCTAACAGAGGAGAGTTCAGCCTCACCCCTCGGAGGCGGTCTAGTAGTCCTTGTCCAAACTTCTGAAGTCCTGAGAAAGTCCAGTCAGCTGCTAGTTGGGTACCATCCAGAATTTCCTGGCGTTCACCGTGCATAAGAATGTTGAAGTAGGCAGGTGATGGCTCAGCTCCTATTGTAAGGAAATAACCAATGATTACCTTTTATTTTTTGAAATCCTTACCAGTCTTTTTCTATTTGTGGGTTGGACTGGTTTTGCGTCTAACCTGTTCTCAGTGAATACTGGCTGTATTCATTGTCCAGTAAGTAGTTAATAATAGTTGATTTTCCGCCACTCCATGGGCCCATGAACAAAATCAATGGCTTGGAGAAAATCTCAGGGTCTGAAATACAACAATGGGTGTGTAAATAAATAATAAAATAATATTTTGGGTGACTTTGATATCCGAAAGTAACTTACCTCCAAAGTGCCTGTTGCTGAGGTCTCTGTATTTGTATAATAATTCAAGTGGTTTGATAGCTGTATCATAAAGACGTTTAAGCTCTCGTAGTGTTGTATCTGTAACTTTATCCATTACAACTTCGGATTCGGCTGAACTATCATCAAGTTTTAGAATGCGTGAAATGTGATCCCTAGGCCTTAAATTCTCTGGGATCTCAATTGGCTGTAATGTTGTTAGAAACCATGATTAGTGCCCTTAGCATTTTGTAAACCAACATACACCTTCATTATTTGAAAAAAAAATTAAAAAAATCTATATATATATATGGGGGGGGGGGTTACCAATATTAAGTCCTCTTCAGGCAACTCTTCAGAATCTGTTAGAATGTAAAATAGTATAATTATTAGTAGCCCAAATCAGACTAATCCTGTCCTTAGTTCTATGTGCTATCTTCTTACCTCCTGCTGTGCTCTCTTCATCACTTTGAGCCTCTGCCTCAACCTGTTCTACACTTTCTGCAGACACTGCAGCCTATTATTTAAAAAATGAAGTTCTTTGAGTGACTGAATTTTTCAAACCGTAGTTTACGTTATATAAGTTAATGTGACCAATTGGTCATCTTATTTTTATCCTTACCTCTTCTGCGGGTTTGTCTTCGGTGGAGTCTTCAGTGGTTTCTTTTGAGTCTGAGGCCTCTTCTTTGGAGTCTCCTTTGCTTTCTGTGGATTCTGCCGCCTCAGCAGCTTCCTCCTTTGAGTCAACTTCCTCAGCAGCTTCCTCCTTGGAGTCACCACCTTCAACAGCCTCCTTGGACTCGCCATCTGCAACGGTTTCCTCCTGTGAGTCAACACTCTCAGCTGTTTCTTCCTTAGAGTCTCCCGGTTCGGCGGTTTCTTCTTTGGAGTCACCACCTTCTGCGGCCTCTTCCTGTGAATCACCAGCCTCAGCCCCTTCTTCCTTAGAATCAGCAGCATCGGCGGTTTCCTCCTTAGAATCAGCAGCCTCAGAAGTTTCTTCCTTGGAATCAGCAGCCTCAGAAGTTTCTTCTTGAGAGTCACCAGCCTCAGCGGTTTCTTCTTGAGAGTCGCCACCCTCAGCGGCTTCTTTGGAGTCCTCTGCATTATCGCCAGCTTCGGCCGCTTCGCCAGACTCGCTCTCCTCCTTGGAGTCGCCCCCTTCTGCTGAATCTCCCGCCTCGGCCGCTGCTTCTACGGACTCGGCTCCCTCAGCTTCTGCTGCTTCTTCCACGGAGTCGCCCCCGTCAGCACCTTCCTCCTTGGAGCCGGCGTCCTCGGATTCTGCCTCTGCTGCTTCCTCCTGGGAGTCGCCGCCCTCCGATTCTGCCTCAACAGCTTCTTCCTGTGAGTCGCCGCCCTCGCCTGCTGCCTCCGTGGGCTCTCCCTCTACGGCCACCGCTTCCGACTCTTCGGCTGGCTCTTCCACCGACTCTTCGGCGTTCTCCTTTGACTCTCCTTCCGTGGACTCAGCTTCTGCCTCTTTTGAATCCCCTCCTTCGTTTTCTTCGGTTTCTGTTCCCTCCTCTTTCGAATCGGCTACGACTTCTTCGGTAGCGTCCCCGTCGACGGCCTCCCCGGTGGCCTCCTCGGTGGCCTCCCCGGTGGCATCTTCGGATTGCTGCAACACCAGAAGACCGAGTCAATACCTGCGCAGTCGCTTGTCGGGGAAACAACGGAACAGAATGTGTCTTCCCTACCTCCGTGCTCGCCTCCTGGGTCTCTTTGGAATCTGCCTCCTCCACACTGTTGCCGTCGATGCCCTCCGTCGTGGACACGACGTCATCGGACTCCTCTTTGCTGCTTGCTTCGTCGGGCTGATCAGCCTGCGCCTGGAGGACAGGGGCAGGAATCAGCGACTTTCTTTTTTGACTCGAAATCACATGAGCTGGTAGTGTCCTACCTGTTCGCCGCTCTCTATACTGCCCCCCGATTCGTTTTCTGTTCCTGCAAACGAATTCCGGTCGTTAACTTTCCTCCACACTCTGCTTATGGTCATGAGGGAGCTACGTACCTGTCGTTTCGTGGTGTTCCATCTCCTTGAGGGCCTTCTCGATGTATGGCCTGCACTCCGACTCCGACGGGGCTGGCGGTGGAGCCGGGCTGCCCCAGGCGTGGGTGTCCTGGACGCATGCCCCTGCGCACAGAGACACGTCGGAGACACTGTTAGTCTGCCCGTTGGCTGAATCGACGCGGGGCTCTCGAAATCGCTAGTTTGCCGAGTCGCCCGCTCCGCAGGCTAGTGTGGGAGTCTGCGGCGTCCCTACCCTCCAAGCCAACTAGTTCGTTTCGATCATTCCGGCTGGCGCAGGCCTGTAACTGTGGCTGGCAGCGACTATCTCTCTTTGTTGCTCTTGTTGCCGACCCATTAGGAGGGAAGGCGGGGGAAGAAGGATGGCCGTAAGGAAGCCGGCTGGTTGGGGGAGGGGCAGGTGGGGGTGGGCGTCCCACGTCACACTCCGGACGAGGTTGAAGTTGCAGGTCTAGGACACCTGGTGGCTCATTCCCCCGCGCCAGTCCCGGCCGGAGAGCCGCTTTTGGCTCCGAGCCGCCACACCTGCCGTGACGTCAACGCGTTCAGATGTCCGTCCGTTTTCAGTCTTGTGAATCCGCGGATCCATCTCTGATCGAAGGTTAACATTTCCTTTATTTTTCGTAAAGAAATATTAAATGGTGGCGCGAGGTTGCGGTACTGCCGGTTCTGTGGGCAAGGCGCTGGTATTTTTGCCACATGTAGGTCGCTCTCGCCTCTCTATTTATACGGCTCCCACGTCACAAGAAGGCTGGGATGAGCTTCTGCTGCCGCCACGGCCGCGACGGCCGCCACCACTGCAACGCGGCGCCGCGCCAGCGCGCCAGCAGCCCAAGCCCGTCATGACCGCCATGACCATGTAGTACAGGCCGCAGGTCCGCTCCCACGCCCGGCGTCGCCCGGCCGAGCCCGGCCGAGCCCGCCCCACCGGTACTGTATCGGCGTGTAAGGAAGTGCGGCCGGCGCTTGGCCCTCGGCTTGGCCGCCGTCGGGTTACGCGAGTTACGCAAACGGTGATGCCACTGTCTCGGTCGCCAAGTCATAAGTGCTTTCGCGCGGGGCTGGCGGGCCGTGGCGGGCCGTGGCGTGGGTCGCGGGTTCAAGGGACTCGGCGTGCCCTGGACACGGCCTCTGGCGGGGCTCTGCCGGGCCGGGGCGTGACGCTTGGCGCCCGCGGTGTCACGGTGCTGTGAACGGGGGCAGCTCGCGTCCTTGGCATGCGTCAGTGTGTGTGTGTGTACGGCCTGGCCGGGACAATTGGCGGCCTCCCGATGGGCCTCGAGGACCACGGGCGGCGAGTGCGGGCCGCCAGCACCGCCAGTCGGGCTTGTCCCCGCAGCTATTAGCCGAGTCGGGCAGTCGGCCGTGTTGCTGGGTATTTTTGGCCGCACCACCGAGCCTCCTAGCCCGATGGCCAGTCAATGGCATTGCTGCCAATGGCAGTCCCCGGGGCACCCCTGGGCCGACCACCCCGCCCCGAGCCCCGGCGTGCCTCCGTGGCCAGCGGCCTGGGCAGCGGCTGCGCTGCCGTGGTTCCCACGCGAAGACGCCTGCGAGGTAGGCCAGGCGGCGAAGGCGGCACTCCGGTGCGCGGCGGGCCGGCCTACCCCGCGCTTTGCAGGCGGCGAGGCGGCCGGCTAAGGCTGCGCGCGGCAATCGGCACCGCGGCGCAACGCGGAGCACCGCCACCTGCACGCGGCCAGCAGCCCAAGCAGCGCCGCCCCGTGTTCGATACGATCGCAGCGACGCGCGCGGCAATCCATCCATAGGCCTTTGGCAGAAACGTCTCTAATTTTAGAGGACAGTGTGCGTCACGTTTCGAATAACGCGGCGGCCGGCGAGGCGGCGGGCCGGCGAGGACGCGTACGTGCGCTTTCCCCGCCACGCCGCCCCGGTCGGTCGGGGCCCTGGTCGGTCGGGGCCCTGGTCGGTCGGGGCCCTGGTCGGTCGGGGCCCTGGTCGGTCGGGGCCCTGGTCGGCCGTGGCCCTGGTCTAGCACCTGCCCACACCGCGCGCGGCCAGCTCTCGATGAAGGGAGCCGAGGCCGCGCTGCGGCGTGTTGCGCGTCGTCCACCCCCACTGGAGCGACCTGCCGGTCCCGCCGCGTTCTTATCTCCATCGCGTCCGACACGAAGCTATGTGTAAACTATTTTCTCTTGACTGGTTATGTGGGTATGAATGTGTCAGCCCGCTGGGTCCCAGCTTGTCGTCACGCAGAAGGTAGGCAAACCGCGTGCCGTGGCCCTCGCCGAAATAATTTTCTCGCAGCGCCCAGCCTGCCCTGCCGACGCGCCGCGTGCGGTGTTTTGCCTTGGCGTTCGGCCAGGCCGGTGCGATGGCTGTGCCGTTGACGGTTGCCTCCGACGTCGTTGGGCCTTTTAAACTTACTTCTGCGATTTCGGATTTGTCGAGCAAGGCGAAAGCCGGCTGGAGTGCAGTCCGACAGTTCAGTTTCGCTCGAAACCGTTTTCTATAATGAATTTGGAGGCGCGGACCTCCGATGCGACCAAATGAATTTCAATGTCGTTTATCCAAAATTTCGAATACATTGTAAAAGTGGGAGTGTATCCCCACCGCTGCAGCACCAACATGTCAGTGCAAATGCAACCGCGACTCCAAAATGTCATGGCGGGAAAGTCCAGCCCCTCTCGATGACCCTGAATGTCACAACTGTCGCTCCTACTTCGCGCGGGGCGTTCAAGAGTCCTCCCCTTTTCGGTTGAGCGAGGTCTTGCCGTTTGATCCACGACAGCCGCTACAAGCCTGCCGAATCCCCGCGCCGCAGGGCCGCAGGGCCGCTCTGCTCTACTCACGCTTCTTTTGGCAAGCACCGGACTCCCCTCCCCTTGGCTGCTAGCGGCGAGCTAACTATTTCGCTATGATCGCTAGGGACTTGGATGGCACCGAGGGCCCTTCAGGCTTTGCTCTAAAAGCGGCCGCGTCTTCGGCACCTCGCACACTCCCTCCGTGGGCCCTTGGCGGCCCATGGGGTGCGAGGTCCGCGAGGTCCGCGAGCAGCTGGAGTGCGTGGACGACGTGGACGACGTGCTGGGCTGGTGGCACGGGGGCCTGAGGGCCCACGCGCCCCCGAGATGTTGATTTGACTAGTTGGCTCGCACCGCCTCGAACACAGGCCGCCATATCACTACTGCACCACCATCACTTGACACAACACTATCACAAGCGCCACTGAGGTGCCCTGGGGCCACTGTCACTACCACCGACACTGCCACTCCAGTCACGGCACTGGTACACTGAGTGCGCCCCGCAGTGTGCGTACCGAGGAACAGGGCTGCGCATGCCGCCAGGAAGAGGAGCCGGCAGGAGGCCCGGCAGGAGGCCCGGCAGGAGGCCATGCTGGACGGGGCTCGGCTCCCTCGGTCCGGCACGGCACGACGCGACTCGGTCCGCTCCGCGCTTGGCTCGACTTGGCAGCGGGACTCCGCCGGGACCACCGCGGGACTGAGCGCCGCCGCCCCAGCACCCCACGCGGCCCGGCCTCCTCCCTCTCCCGGGACAGCCCCGGCCCTCCCCGACCTAGACGCCCCTGAAAACGGCGGGCCGGGCCGGGCCGGGCCGGTCCACGCGGGGCCGGTCCACGCGCGCGCGCCTCGGCGCTGCCGCTGCACCGTGTGTGAGGGTGGGCTGGCTTACTCCAGGCGGCTGGCATGGCACGCCGCGGCACGCCGGCACCTGCTTGTTGCACCGGCCCCCTGGGCCCTAGGCCTGGACTCCAGGCCGTGTGGGGCGGCCACAGCGCCAGCCGGGGTCAGGAGGACGGTTGCTCGGCCGGGATGACAAGGCAGTGCGGCGTGCCAGGCATGTCCTAAGGCCGCAGGGTCCCTGCCGGTCAGCCCAGAGTACTTCAGGGTGGTGCAGGGCCCGGAAGCGACGCACCCCGCCCGCACATCGCCTGCGTGTCGCTACGCCCTGCGTCCCTGTGCCCCGCGGTGCCCCGCGGCCTCGTGGGGCTGCCCATTGCGCGCCGCGGCGACGGGGTGGGTGAAGAGGCGAGGCTACGCCGCCCACGGCCCAGGCCCGCGGCCCAGGCCGCCACTTTCGCCTGGAGTTGTGCTAGGCCGCCAGGCCCTTGGGCAGGGGGTGACATTGGGCACCGCGGCTTGGCTTTGCTTTACGCTGTGCTGCCTACCGGTTATTTCAGACGCACACCGGGCTTATTTTAATCCCTCGCCGTCGCCCCCACCCGATCCGAACGGGGTAAGGGAGGGGGTCTCGCGCCCGCCCGCCGCCGGCCCCACCACTTTATCTCAGGCGGCCTGTTTGACGTGGCGACTTGGAAAGCATTTCGCCGTGGTCGACTGGCTTGGAGTCGAGGGGCGTGCAGCGCGTGCAGGGAGGCCTGGCGTCACCGTGCGCACTGCACAGCTCGGCCTGGACTGCCTGGACGGCCTGGAAGGCCTGGAAGGCAGAGACCGGAGGGCCTGCACGGCCATGCCTCCCTGCCCCGCCTCAAGCCGCCCGAGTCAGCTGTGCTGCGCTCCTCGGCGCGGTCCGCGGTCCGCCACGCAGGCGACCGGGTCCTTCCCTGACCGCCTCTGGGACTTATTTATACCTCGCGACAAGCCAAGCCCAGGCAGTGGGCCACGGCGTAGGCCAAGACGCTAGGCCCAGTCGGGGCTCCCCTACCGCCTCCCCCTCCTCAATGCATGGTATACGCCCCTCGTCATATCTTGGCTCCATCTGCGAGAGTCCAGCCAGCTGGGTTGTGACTCCTTGGCTTACACTCTCGCCGAGGACTTGTCACTTGCTGCAGAGCGTATCCACCAAGGAAGGGACACCGCTAACGTGGGCGTTGATGCGTGTGTTGACAGGCCAAGAAGCTAGCGGACCATCGCCGCAAGCAGGAGCGCCGGAAGGCGGACAAGGAGTTCAAGGCGCGCCAGGAGCGCGTCAAGCAGGCCAGGGAGGCGCAGGAGCGCGCGCGCCAGCAGCAGGAGAAGCAGGAGCAGGCCGAGCAGGATGACGACGAGGAGGGAGGCATGCCCGGCATGGGCGACTTCTACAAGCTGTTCAACGACCCCGAGATCATGAACGCCTTCAAGGTACATCACGGCCCTCTGGAGTAACTTCAAACATTTATATTTTGTTATGTAATTGAATTGTTTTGCTTTTATTGAAAGGATCCTGAGGTGGCGGCTGCATTCAAGGACATCTCGACCAACCCAGCCAATATGCTTAAGTACCAAGGCAACCCCAAGATTGCTGCCATCATCAGCAAGCTCACCTCCAAATACGCTTCAGCAGGGGGCGGTGGCTTCCCTGGCATGGGTGGTATGGGTGGTATGGGGGGGTTTCCGGGGATGGGGGGCTTCCCCCCAGGCGCAGGGGGGCCTGGGGCCGGACCCGGGACTGGTTTCGACGACGCGGGCTTAGACTAATGATGCGGTAAGTTGACGTCGCCAGCAGGCTCAAGTAGAGGGAGTTGCTACAAATGAACCTTGTAATTTATTAACTTCTTTCATTCTTTGCAGCCTTTATCTAAGATTCCCAAACCTCATGGCCAGAAGGTAATACATAAATAAATAAGACATTTAGTCGTTGGTTTTACGTGGTTGCCATTGTTGTTAATTTCAAGATTCACCTCATTTGCATTGTTGACTTTTTGTTTTTAGTTTCTGGTTGTTTTATTTTATTCCACGTAAAGCATGTGATTTTACAAATATTGTAAGCTAACTTCATTAAGTAGTTTGCAATAAGTCAATGTAATGTCTTAAATGCTTAATCTGAAGACTGCTGCACGCTGTGCAACCTTAAGAAGACTAACTGAGGAATTTATAGATTTAATGTTACTTGATTAGTGAATAAATCCTCGTTTGTTTTTTAGAGTAAGTGAAATACAAGCATTTAGATTTGTCTTTCTTTGTTTTGCTTGATTAGGGGATTCTCTCTTAAGTTATCCTGTCCCACCATTAAAAATTTTCAGAACTGTTGGTTACAATTATACACAACTTTATTAGCAAAGTCAAGAAATAAAGTTGTTTGAAAAAGAGAATGTTGGTCTTTATGTAGAACCTTCTCCTTGTGGTTGAAGTAAAACTACCCACCCATCATGGCCTGCCACTCACCCTCATTTTGAAAGGTATTGAGGCTTCTTTGAAGGCATCTGGGGAAGGAACCACAGCTTATACTGGAATATACTTCCAAAAAACAAGATAAAAGATTTTTTCCTCATTTATTTTTTTATAAATATATTGGCTTAACAAAGTAGTACCACCAAGTCCTGAAAGGGTACATACAAGTAGACACTGAAATTGTGTAAATGAAGTATGGACAACAAATGTGCTGGAGGCAATGTAACACAAATACTGTTCTGATATTTATTCCTCTTAAAAATTGTGCACAAGTCGAAACATCAACTGAGTAAAAATAGTTATGCCATTAAATCCCTAACCTCGAGTTCAAAGTCGTAACATGAGAGGTTAACTTTCATTTTTGCAAAATAGGAAACAGTGTATCATCTGTGTTCCAAAAATTTTATTCTGGCGTTACAATTGGAGTTGCAACTGACTAATATTCTCCCAAATCTTATATGAAATGGGCGTACAAAATCAAAATAAACCACAATAATAAAGGAAAAAAATTAATAAATCAACACAATATGCAACTATCACTGAGAATTCCTACAAAATCAGCTCAATTCATTCGTCATCAACAAAATCAGTACAAAACAAATGGCTTTTGTAAGGCATTTGACATTGCGTAGCTGCGCCCAATTTTACACCAATGCAAATTGTTGACACAGCACACATTCTTGGAAAAGAAAAAAAATCTCAAATCAAGTAGCAAAAAGTAAAACCCAGAAGAAAAACCAACAACAATAGAGGAAAATCTGCAGTAAGTCACAGAGAGAAAAAGTTACAAACAATTTAACGACAGCAATTTAAATGTGTGGCTCTCCTTGCTAAAAGGAAAGGAGGTCTATAAATGATTTATAAACAAAGACTTCATATGAATTTGATTCACAATTGAAAACTGATTAAAAAACACATTCAACAGATACATTCCTTCAACAGAACTGATACGAGATATCCAAGAACATGTGAGGATACCATTGCATTCTTACTCACATACATTCTTTTAGGAGAGAAGCCTACTGTAGTGCTTCACAATGATTTGTCAACATATACATAACAAGTAACACAAATAGTAAAAAAATTCACAGCACCTCTTAATTTTAGAATCAACAAGGAGGATTTGTGAGCATATTTAACATATACACATTCTTCCAAGAGGGAGACTTCCATGTTTTCATTAATATTGTAATGGCGAATGTATGGCGTAACTTGTTCTTACATGAAAGAACAACTTATACTGAATAGATGTATTGGTAACATGATACCAAAGAAGCACAGCGACAAGAAATGTAAGTTTAACTTAATAGTTGCAAGACACATAAGAACTCCATGGCACATGGAACAAACAATGGTAAAATAAAGTATAGTTGAAAGCTCAACCTTCAACAAAACTTAAAATAGAAATATTCTCTGACGAAATTGAGGAAAATGACTAATTCAGTTCATTGGCTTCATGTGGTGTTTTCACTATTACCCACTTGGTCAGTAGAGACCGAGTTGCCACTATCATCCTCCTGAAGTTCAGCTTCCACTTGCCCATCTTCTACCATTTTAAGAAACTCTTCCTCTAAATTTTGTGGGTTTGATTCTTCATCTAAAATTTCCTCCTTGACAGTGATGCCAGAATTTGTTACATCAGATATAAGGACAGTTGAGCGATTGAGGTCAGACGCCCTGATGGGAGTCAACTCCAATGGATCCCTCTCTCTAACAATGGATTTCCTTATGGGAATTGTTTTAAGAACATGCTTTTGACGTAAAGCTTGCATTTGTGACTTACGTATACGAGCTTCTTTAGGGCTGTAGAAGTAATTAGGATATTTTTGTTTGTGCTCTTCATCTGCTTTACGGGAAGCAGTGAAGTAAATTGCCTTATTTTCTGAAGTCATACTTTTCCATTTAATACCCAAACGGACTGAGATTTGCTTATTTGATTCGGCTGTTTAGGAAAGGGGGAAAAGATGTAAAGAACAAAGTAAGGAAAAGGTAGTCAAATAAGTTGGACTTACAAACACATTACTCACTTGGATTTTCAAGAGCAAGCTTTTTTCTCCATTCGTTAGCAAATATCATGAATGCATTAGGAGGTCGAGGAATTCTATGTCCTCTCCGTTGATCAATATAATTTGGTTCAGGGGCACTTTTATCACCAGCAGCATTTCTCTCTTGAACACTTGAAGAATCAGAACTACTTTGAGCAGACTGGGATAATCCCACCAGCTCAGAGGTTGGCCGCACTAAAAAGACATGAAATTTATAGTAGTAATTAATGCTGAGCTTTTAGAGCACTATCAAGAAAGAAAGAGAAAGAGAGAAAGAGAGAGAGAGAGAGAGAAACAGAGCGAAAAAAGAGAAACTTACCTTTGAGTTTCGGTTTTGCCACAAATGTTGTTTTGATAGGTGATGGCATTTTAGACTCATTTTTTTCTGCAACTGAATGTTGGGCTTGTGATTTGTCTGATGCCTCGTCTGCTTCTTCAGATGGCTGCACATGTGTTGAAACACAAAATTTAAAACTAGTTGCAACAGAAAAAAAAAGAATCATTTAAAACAAATTTTCAAAAAAAAAAAAAAGAACTTTCCGTACCAAATCAATAACTAGTCTGGTCGGATCATCCCAAGATGCATCACCATCATCTATATCTCTGATAAAAAGAGGGTTGACTTTAATCTGAAAGTAAGATTTATTTCAAATTATTAGTGCCGGAAAAAAAAGTGTCTGGTTAGGAAAATAAAATTTTGAGAAGTTTGTTATGACTCACAGTTTTTGCTAGATCAATATCGTCATCTGATGTCTCACTCAATGACACTTGGACAAATGGAAGGGCATCGGTATCTTCTTGTTCTCCATCATTTGTTCTGGAAGATGTAACTTCTTTGTTGGCTTTGACTGCAGATTTTTTTGATAAGTACACTTTGGCCAATGGCAGAGTTGACCTGTGAGGATTGGACGATATTGCTTTGGGTGAAGTTGCTTTTGGTGATGAAGGTTTAGATGAGGGGACTCCAGGTGGTGGCGACATTGGTGAGGATGCCCCAGGTGATACGGCTCTCGGTGAGATTGTTCTCGGTGAGGCTACTGCTGGAGAAGAGACTCTTGATGAGCTCACTTTGGGAGGAACTATATTGGGTGTTACATTGTGATTAGGTCTGGGAGCTGTCAGTTGAGGTTGAGCTGATTCAGATGAGGTCTCTTGGCAAGAAACTTTTGAAGTGTCATTGCGTTTTCCCTTGAAAAGGAAATAATTAAAAAAGGAATACAGTAAGTACATTGAAGCAAATAAGTCCAAACTGCAACGCAACAATCACAATTTATGGTCACCTCTGATGGGCGTTTCCGCTTTCTTGGTGGCTTAATTGACTCATTTTGATTTGTGAGTTCCAGGGGATCCATTGCAACAACCTCAGGAGGAAAACTATCCTGAACATTTGAGGTCTCAATAGATTCTGCAGTTTGAGTTTTTTCATGCTTATTGCGAACTGTGCTGAGACCTTTTATCTGTAATGTTTCTGCAACTGCCAAGATATCATTGAGTTCAGATTCCAAAACCTACAAGAAGATAAAAACAGGTAATTAACATGTTCCATTCATTAAGACCAAAAAAAATCATACTAAAAAATACATACTCTGGTTTCTCCCCTGTACATGAAATCAACAACCATTTTTAAGTCATGAAACTTTATCCCATTTAATATGACAACAGGATGCTGAACTTGGTGAATGGAAAACAAATCCTGAAAAGAAAAATAAATTTCTTCGTTTGAGCTTGACAAATTTAGTTAAAGCCCCCTAACAGATAGTTCAGAAGAAAAACAGATGAATTTCAGTATTAAGTGTTATTGCCTCACCTGAAAATACGGACTACAAGCAGAGAGTACCATTTTGTGCACCTTGATGAATTGACCTTGACAAGATAATGTTACATCTACTAAGCTCTCATTTGTCAGTTGTTCCAGGAAGACCTAAAATTTAATTATGTTAAGTTAATTATGTACCAAATATTAAATGCATCAATCCTCAACTGCACATCATGAATGACCCACCTGTATTATGTTGTAACTGTGATTGTTCCAACGTAGATTAAATTGTGGATTGGACTCCATTGCTATTGGTGAATCCTACAGAACAGAAGTGATACTTCCCGTGTTTACTGTTGATCTGACATTCAACAAAGTTCGACTAACCTACGTTTAAGAATAATTTTCACTATCATGATAGCTTGAATAGAAAAGTGGACAGTTCGAGCAATGTAGATCACTGAATCGATCAAAGACAACAGGATATAATTTCACAAGCTTTGGAAATGACTATATCACCAAGAAAACAGAATATCATTCATAATGCGTTCAAAAAATGAACATTGTTGGACAGACAGTTCCTTTCGAGATAAAATTCAGCTTGATTGAAACATGTTTGCAGCAGAAAGGTTTTGAATATTTAGGCAGGAAAATGACCTTGATCAATCTTTAAGGAATCATTGTTGTTTCATGGTCCAAAGTAGCCTAACAATGAGGAGTCTAGTGACGTGCCATTGCGGCGACTATTACCGTCAAACAGAGTCGTGCAGTGCCAAAACAAATACGTGATTCATGAGGTTGACTCTACAACCACAACCAACTGATATTCACTTCACGTCCCGCAAAAATCTTAAACAAATCACGCTTGTTCTCACAAATGCCTAAGTAACAATCGAAGAATGCAGCCCGACAAGGCGCCTTCAGCAAAACAAACAAATAGCAAAGCAAAACTTGGACCCGGCCACCGTCAAGCGGGTTGTTCTAAAGGCATAGCATTCAATAAGAAAGGCCTAATATCAGAAAAATGCAGTCCGAAAGATCCTTTTTCTTGGAAGGAGGTGGCAAACAATCTTTTCACCTACAGCTGATTGTTGTGCATCCCGCACTAAGTGCCAAGTGCATCGACGCGTGGTTGGCAGCACCACCCAGCGCCGGCGATGCAGCTTTCTAAAATTTGTCGGACTTGCCTCCGGACCACTATCCTCCCGCAGAGACCAACAAGAGTTTTCCCACTTGTGATCCGCAAAGATCGCTAGCAACTGCCCGATTCAAACCGCGCGCAGCTGGAAACCCGTTGGAGATGCTGTTGTGATTTTTCTTGCACGGCTGGTAAGCCTGGTGGCATCACTGGGGGGAACTTTCGAATCCGTGCGGCAGCCTGGCTCTACCGTGTATGGGGCCATGTGGCTTGTGAGGGGATGTCCGAGCCAGTGGGTTGTTTTAATCCCCAAAGAAGAGTAAGTGCTACGGGAGGACCGATATTGCGTGGGGATTTTACTTGCAACGAGTGGGTAGCAGCCATCAGCACTTGCACCTCGTGCAATGGGCCAGTCTCTGACAGGGCTGGGGGGCGGGGTAGAGCATGTGGGCCTTCTTGACGCCCGGCCAGCCGCGCCACCCGTACGGCAGCATGCTCGCCCTGCCGGAACGCAACGTATTCATTGAAAGAACTGCAACTGAAGGGTCGGCAGCGTTGGAGGGTTCAAACGAGGAAGGCAGCGAGCACTCACATCTCGTCCACGGAGTGCCTGCAGCAGGTGGTGCACGCCTCTGTCGCGCACGTGCAGGGCGTGGGCCTCCGCAGTGCGCGCGGCGGCGCGGAGCAGCGCGCGCCGGCCACCTCGGACTCCAAGAGACTAGGCAAGTAGGCGGGATGCCAGGGATGCCCTCCTGTAGACAGGGAACACGTTAACATTGACACTATGGCTTGCCTCAAGCCACTGCCCACCCTGAGGTGGTACCGTGATCCGAACAGCTCGGGATTGCTCCACATCGCTGCGTCCTCGGCGGCGGCAGTGTCGGCTCCAGCCCGCAGCGGGAGAGGTAGTCGTCGGGGCAGTCCTCTGGCTCCGCGTAGCGGCGTAGGGCGGGCTTGAACCCTTCAGCGAGAACCAGCGACATGGCAAGTCAGCCGGGCCTTCCATGGCTTCCTTGCGCCCAGGCGTGCGGACGCGAGGCGAAGGTCTATTTTGCCAGTGCACACACCGAAGACCACCTGCCCGGGGAGGTAGAAATCGGGGTGGTCCAACTCAAACTTGTGTTCCAGCGGAGTCTCAGGCTGCGGCTGCTTGGCGGGGAACACGGGGGCGTACAGCGAGGGATCCCCGCACGGCCGCTGCGACCGCTTGTCGTGGCACCACCACCAGAACGGCGGCCTCGGACACCACCTGCAGCACGGGACGGCGCTTAGCCCCGGAGCAGCCACGGAGAAGCTCGCTCTGTTCATGCCCCAGTACAGCTTGGGTGCACTCACGTCTCCCGAGGGGGCGCCGGGCTGGCAGGAGGTGCCCTGGGCGGGGCGGGGCGGGGTGGCCGCGGGGCGCGGCAGCAGGCACACTGGCAGCCCTTGGCGGGGTCAGGGCGGTGGCCGAGCAGGGGGCCCCCTCGCACCCACGTTTCCCGCCTGCAGGGGCAGTGCTCGTGGCTTGCCCGCTCCGCCCGCTCCTTCTCGTCGACGCCGTCCTCGGCGACGCGCGTGGCGCCCCTGCCAGCGGATGTTGCTGCAACCGTTTCCACATTAGTCTCGATGCCCTTGGTAGCGGCGAGGGTGACGGAAAGAACACAAACGGACCAGAAATCTGGCCCGGCAGGTACTGGTGCACGCAGTCCACCTCCAGCCGTTCCAGCACGTTGGGGATGTCCTCGGCGAGGCGGACGAGGCGGCGGGGCCTCGGCTCGTACTCGTCGGGGTCGCCTCCAGGCCGCGGCTGGCCGTCGCGACCGCCGTACCACCAGAACGGGGTGCGGATGCCGCACAGCGACCGGCTCCGGGTGCCCCTGTCGGGCAGGCAAGCGTTGCAAGCGTTGCACCAAGGCTGCCTTCGTCCAGGGCCTCGTCCAGGGCCTCGTCCAGGGCCTCGTCCAGGACCGCCATCCTCATCGCCTCCTCACCCGCAGCACGGGTCGCTCTTGCTTCTGCTCTGCGGCTGGCACTCCTTCGGAGCGATGGAAGTATCCTCCTCGGGGCAAGACATTGCCAGTTGTTAGTTTTTGTTTTCCTTTTTTTTTTTAATATCTGCCGCCCCCGCCGCAGGCCCTCTTCCCGGTGCTGCCCCCGCCCGCGGGGTTGCGGCGCAACCGGCGCGCACTCCCAGCTCATTGTTCGGGCCGCCGCACGGTGTAGAGAGACCTCTGCACCGTGTGGGCCACCGGCAGATCGGCGTCACAGCGCTAAGGGTCGAGTATCCGGAGGGGGCCGGATGCTGTGGGCGTCCAGTCCCGGTCCGCCGGCAAAGGGGTCGCTCTTAGTAGGACGCCCTGGTGGGTGCTCAGCAAGATTGGCGTGGCCAGGACGGACCTGAAATGGCTATCGATCATTTCTGGTCCAGCCTATCAAGTTCAAGTGCAGTGAGGAAGGTCAGGTTCGGCCCGCCAGAGAAGAGAGAGATAGAGCGCGTCAACTCCTCACACATCGCTCCTGTCGCGGTCGCTCTCCGCGAGCGCTTTGAAGCACGGCTCGTATAGGCAATCGGTGGCTGGCGTCGCCGTGTGCGGTGGCAGAGTCGGCAGAGCCAAGGCAGAGCAGCTGTCCGTTTATCGCAGCGCTCTCTAGTAAAATGCAATCTCGGGTGCAATTAAGAGGAACTCGAACCGCGCTCGGCGTGACGTGTGACGTCACGCAGCCGCTATCGCCGGGCGGAGCGCGCCACGTGCAGGTACGCGCCACCCCGACAGTGTTTTGTACGGCTGCCGGCGAGAGCCATGGCGGAGCCAACCCGAATATCCTTATCTCGCGGGGCCGACGGCCGGCGGCCACTATAGCGCCACACCCCCGCGACGGCCCCCCGGCCCAGCCCCGCGACGGGCACGCTCAAGAGACGTGCGCCCGCCTCAGCGGCCGTGATTGACTGTCGCCGAAAAACAACAAAAGTGGTTGGTTACTGGTGGACGTGGTCACCGGCACGTGATATTTTATCAGATCTGTGTGTGTCAGGGATCCCACCGGTGTTGCAACCAACCATGATGATCCGCATGGTTTGCTGGAACTGCGGTGGAATCTAAAACCGTGCAATGATCAGGCGCGGATTCACCCGGGGGGGGGGGGGGGTCTGAGGGCGGAAAAGCCGCCTTAAAGGTAGACACAAAGTCTCACATTGCCCCTGTAGGCAGGCAACTTTTGCGACATCGCCCCCCTCAACCCGTTTCTGGATCCGCGCCTAGCAATGATTACGATTTTTTTGGGGGGTGGGGGATGGAATTGTCTACGACTGAGTCACGAAGGTTAACTGTTTCTAGGGGGATATAACCCGTTGCATGCATAACAGAAACTTAAAATACCAGAATGCTTTGGCATATTTGGTGTGCTTATTGCGGTTTCTCCGGTCGGAGCAAGCCTCCCTCCCCTTTTCCCCTGTCCGTCTAGAGAGGGAGGGTTGGGGCGGGTGGCAGCAAAGCAAGGGGTAAGGAGGGGGAGTGGCAGGCCGCGTCCCAGCACCCCGCGGCGCTACGCGGCGCCGCCCACAGCGACGACCTTCGTCCTGGCGTCCGTTCGCCCTGCTGCGCGCCCCTAACCTCTCACCCCGTCTCCTACACCGCGCAAATCGCTGCTCCTACAAGACTCTCATCCGCCCTCACGCCTCAAAGTGGCAGGTGAGTTCCACGGACGGTTGCCAACCGAGGGACCGCAGTGTCGCTTCGGCGAAGAGGACTTGATTCGCCGTCGGGCCTGTTTACAAAGTGCGCTGCGGGCGTCATAACCTGTGAAGGCGTAGCGACACTGTGAGTGTGGGCGCGCGTGTGTGTGCGCGTTCCGGACGCGGCACGCCGGGGCGGAAGGCACCGGAGAGTGGCGGTGCTCGTGCTCGCCTCTGACTGTCACACTGTCACTTCGATTTTACTCCAATTTGCGACGGTGTTTTCACACGTCATTTCTCTTTGACATTATGACATCCGGGAACACTGTACGAGTTCTAAGGAGAGATCTGTAGCGACTGAGCATGCGCTGTGCTGGTATGCGTTGCGTTAAACACAACCACCCTCGAAAGCTTGTGGCTGGATCGACTCGATCGACTCCGGCACAGCTGGTAGAGACCGACTGCGTGCTGGGCTGCAGGTAGGGGGTGGGGGCGACCACCTAATGGAAGCGGCCGAGGGCGAAGGCGTTCTAAAAGCGTCCCCCGTTGCTAGGCGACCAAAGCCGCGTCCCACACGGCCCGCCCCGTGCGTCGGCCGTGCGGCCGTGCGTCGGCCGAGGGAAGTCCCACTGGTCTTCCTTCACGGTCTTGTCTTCCTCTTCTCCTCGCGAGTTTACCTCGCAAGCGGACCGCACCGAGAAATCGACACTAGGCAATTAAAAACAATCTAAACAAAAATAAATTTCCTTTTGTTTGGGGAACACAGTAAAACTGTGATTAAGAAAGCGCGGTAGCGTTTGGCGCTGGCAAACAAGTGCTGGGGCGTGCTGAAAGCCCGGTTGCTGCCGTTGCCGCGCACCGCGGACTCCGCTCGGGAAAGGTTGTCTCTGCCCTAACTACAGCTTATCTAACGTGCAGTGTTGTTTCGGTTGCCATGCGCGGCGGCCCGCGTCCACGTCGAGGCGGTGGTCCCCGTGAGGGAGGGAGGGAGGACGCCGCGCCCTCCGTCACGGCCGGCGCGGCACGCGGCACGCCTTGCGGGGAATAATCGACGCGACACCGCCAGAGTGGCGGCGACGAGGAGAGAGGAAGGCTGCCGCGCCAGTGGCGCCACCAGCCAAATATTCAATATTCATCGGGGACGGCCCGGCGGCCCGGCGGCCCGGCCCAGTATTTGGAGGGAAAGGCGGGCCATTAAAGCGCCGCCACGGGCGCGATGCTCTCCGCCTTGCACCGCACCACAACGCACCGCCCGGCCAAGACGTGTCGTTCCAGACTCCGGGGGCGTCGTCGGCGAGGTTCCGCCCGGCCTGCGCAGCGCCGTGATTGGAAAGGCACCAGCGGCACCTTCGCCGTCAAGTGTTGACTGCCGTACTTAGGGGCCGTGGCATTGCCATACCGTTGACAACAAGTGGCGATTGTTTTGATCCGACTTTCGATCTTCAGACGGATCACGTTTCTTTATCTGAGTTGGCGCTGACGCAGTCGGTTCCCCCGTGGACGCCGCCTAGAGGTGTCCCTACCTGCTGGCTAAGTGCCTGCGCCCTGCCTGCCCAGCGTTGGTGACGGCCTGACGGGGCGCCGCGAGCCCTCGGCCCCTCCAAAGCCTTATCTGCATGCACTTTATAAATAGGAGCTGAAAACAAGGTGGCCTTGGGCCGAGACAACAAGGGCGCCGTGACGGAGTGACGGAGTGTGCCTCGGCGTGGCGTACCTCCCTGCATTAAGGACCTCTCTACGCGGAAGGCGCTCGACGTCCGCCCTACGCAGCGACGCAGTCCTTGGGCTGGACCCTGCATGGACACCAAGCCCGCCGCTTCAGAGGTCTTCAGAGCCGCGACTCGCACTGGAGTCCCTGCAGCCCGGCTCCAGGCAGCCTCCAGGCAGCCTCCAGGCAGCCTCCAGCCTGCCGCCGCGCCACGGCCAAGTTCACGGCACGCCGCCGTAGTACTGCGTCGCGTAGTACGCCGTAACCTGTTCTGGAGCCGTCCGGCGAGTGCCGCGAGTGCGCGCTACACTGCCAAAAGGCGCCAAAAGGCGAGCGCTGCGTGGCTGCGACCGCTCGGGCAGCATGGAGCCTCCGCGGCGCGCCAGAGAACTTCTTTTTAAAATGTCTGGCGTTGCCGGCAGTCAACCAGATGAGCGCCTTTAAAGTAATTTTCCGATCCAAACGTGTCTCCGAAACTATTATCCCCACTAGGGTTTCAACACGGCCCAGGCTTACAAGGCGGAGGCTTACTCGTCGGGACATGTCGTCCGCTGTTAAGCGGCTGTCCACTTCCAAGTTGCCTTTACCTCGCTTTCCTTTGGGGCAGGAGGCAGTCCGGGGCAGTCCGGGCCGAAAGGCGAGGCGGTCGCGCGGGAGTGCTGCACCGCATTTTGTTCTTTTGTTCGCGGGAGTCATCACCCCGAGCAAACACGCCTTGCGAGCTCATGATACCCGCAAATCTAACTCGTTGCCCCTCTCCGCGCCGCTCCGCCCCGCCCCGCTCTGCCCCGCCCCGCCCCGCCACGCCACGCCCCGCCACGCCACGCCCCGCCCCGCCCCGCCAGAACGCTCTGAGGTGTTCTGGCGCGGTGGAGTTCTCACTCCGGGACCGAACAGCACGCCGCGAGGACTGCGAAGTGGACGCATCGGCAGGACGGCGAGGATGAGACCGAAGTGACGCTGTGAGTCAGTCGGTACCGCGTCCAGTCGCCAGTGCCCCGCGTGCCCCGGGAGCCCCGCGCGCCCCGCGCCCTCGAGAGGACCGCCAAGGACCGTTTCGGGTCCCGCCCTCGCCTCGCGGCCAACAGACCCTCAAGCCACCCCCGGGCCGGCAGCGGTGGGCGGCAGCCATGCTCAACAAAGTGTTCCGGATATTCAGGGGCACGGTCCACATCAGCGACATCGGCGCCTCGCCCGAGAAGGCCGAGAAGCAGGCCAACGGTGAGTCCCTGCGCGACCAGGACGCGACGGCCTGTGAGTGATGTGGGGTGGAGGACCAGCGCCTCGTTCAGTGGCGGATCCAGAGTCAGCCCAAGGGGGGGTCAAAGTAGCACTTTTTGCCTACCTTTCAGGCGGTCATCTAGGGGTCAAGGGGGGGGGGGCAATTGTCCTTTTGCCCCCTCCTGGATCCGCGCTTGGCCTCGTTCAATGTTGTGCCACGCGGGTGCAGTGTCACCGGCCCCGCCTCATTGCGATTCCAAGTCCCGGTCGCGTCCCGACTCCCTCCGCGCCTCGCCAGCCTAACCGCCTAGCCGAGCCGTGGCCTGCTGACCACTCGACTCTAGTGGCCAGCCACGCGGTCGCGACAACTGGGCCACAGGTGTGTGTGTGTGTGTGTGTGTGTGTGTGTGTGTGTGTGTGTGTGTGTGTGTGTGTGTGTGTGTGTGTGTGTGTGTGTGTGTGTGTGTGTGTGTGTAGCTGCGTGTATGTGTGTGTCAGTGAGTGTGGGAGGAAGGCGTTAGTGGTGTGCGTGTACTATTATCTCGAATGCCTCGGCAATGCATTAACGGAATGGCGAATCTCCACTCATCGCTCCTGGTGAACGTAAACAGTCACACCCTCATAGGTACAGAAAATGGACGCGCAATGCTCTTGGGTGGCAGAAATGCCAGTCGACTTGTTCGAAGAAAATCGCGAAGAAAATACTTTTTGGGTGAAACCACGCTGAAGAGGAATAGAGGTATAGATACAGTCAATGAGACGGCCTCGGTTCGAGCTCAACAAGGCCTTGATGGCCAGGTTTAGCGAGTGGAAAGCCCTTTGCGTTCGTGCCGTGACGGTCTTGGCAATCGCGGACGCGGATGAATGCTCCCGCCGAACGCGTTGATTTAAACTACAGCGGGGCGGGGCGGGGCGGAGGCATTCGTTAGTTTTACCGCCGGCTCGGCGCCGCGCCTGTGATACGAACTCACGCGGAAGACGCACATTACGCAACGATTGGCCGAGCAGACGCGGAGACGCAGAGACGCGGAGTCGCGGCGCGGAGAATGTGTGTCTGCCTCTGCGTCCAAGGACGCGGCGCGACCACCAGTGCCGCCCGCCCGCCTTCTTTGGGGTGGAACACGAGGTGGAACACGACCAGCATGTTATCGCATGACGACCTGACCTGGCGGCGGGGAGCCCTGCCGGTTGGGTAACCACGACGGGTCCTTATCAAGGGCGCGAACGACGCCCTGCCGAGCGCCCTGCCGAAAGCCGGCGCCGCGGCGTCCGCGCCGTGCGTTGCCCCCGATTGCCTCCGGTCCGCGATGTGCAGCCGAGCCGATGTGCTGCCGGCTCGCGTCGCGCAGCGTCCTCGGCAGCGTCGTCGCGGCCCCCCTTTCCCCTTCCGCCCCGTCCGTCCCTCGCGCAAGCCGGCCGGCCGGCGATACTCTTCCACCGTGGGTCGTTTGAGGCCGACCGGCAGCGATACCCCACGCGCCTCCGCGAGGAGTATGTTTGTATCTCCTCGGCAGTTGAGTTGTTGACGTCTGCCTCTGGTTGGTGCAGGCCGTGGCCGGGTAGAACCGTCGCCTAGCTCCCAGCGGTTGCGAGTGAGAGAGACAACCTCATTCTAGCTTACAGTAGCGTCCTGTGTAGCTTTTTGTAAGAAGTTGAGCAGTTCGCATCAATGATATTTGCGCTCTTTGTTTATTCGCCCACAATGTTTTAGACGTGTGCGGAAAACTTTGTCACTTTCGTACGTTTTGACCCTCCAAACAATCAAAACCAATTTCTTTGACTTACATGCGTTTAGAGTGTGGTGAGGAGATATGCCGAGATTCGAATATCCCTCCCCAGACGGAGGGCATGTGGATGAGGAGGCGGGCAACCATCATGGCACAGCGACAGCGCTTGTGTCACTTGCAGTGGCCCAGCCCAACCGGCCCGAGCGTCCACGCCGCGGCTTCGATTCGTGTATCGTATAGTGCTGCGAGCCCTTTCGGGCCTATGGGGCCCATCGGTCGCGCCTCGTGGCTCGAGACGCCTTCGTCCTCTCCGCCATACCGCCGCCATACTGCCCCCAGTGCCCCCGCGGTCCAGTGTGGCTGGCTGTTTTGCATCCCGGTCTGGCACTGATTGGTTACACTGGTGTCATTGCGTGGCCGGCGTCGGCTGTCGGCACTGTGGCCTAAAGCCTAAAAATAGCGCCAGTCAGTCCATCGGCGTGACCGGCAGGCCGGCAGGGCACGCTGCCGCCGCCGCCGTGCCGTGCCGTGCCGTGCCGCCGGAGTGCCCGCTCACGTCCGGCCACACGCGTCCTGGTCTAGGAATGGCGGTACTGCACGTGTCGCACGTGTCCTGGCGCCGCGCCCGCCTCGCCCGCCCCTGGCCCGACGGTGTAGTGTCGCGCACAATGGTTGGCGGCACTGATCGCCAGTGTCCGAGCGAGTTTGGTCTTTCTGTCTCGCTGCCGGGCCGGGCCGGGCCTTGGCCTCCTCGTTGGCGTACTGACCACACCGCCATGCCGCCATTCGGTGCCGGGGCGCGTAGCGTGGCGCAGTCTGGCAGCATGGACGAGAGGGCGCTGTCGCTGGCCGACGTGAACAAGGCCAAGCACATCGTGCAGCCGCTGCTGGGTCGGTTTGGCCGGAAACGATGGTCCCCATAGCGAGTGGAAAACTGGGATTGGATAAGTTGGGAGAGCGCGCTCGGCGGCTCATGCAGTGGTTTGCTTTCTGCGTCTGCAGGAAAGCAGTCTCAAGATGGCACCGTCGCTGAGAGTGGGGCGACCACGTCGTTCGAGGACGCCGTCAAACTCACAGGTGCGTTCCCCGCGTCGCCTGGCGTCGCCAACCAGGCGGCACGGAGTGCTCTCGCTTACTGCCTCGGATTGTTATCATTGACCTGACCCTCTCGCAGGCTACGGCAAGTTCAACCACCTGCTCATGCTGGTGTGCGGACTGGCCATCATGGGCGCCATCATGGAGATGATCGACATCGGCTACGTGCTGCCCGCCGCGGAGTGCGACCTCAAGCTGACGCAGAAGGACAAGGGCGTGCTGGGCGCCATCACATACATCGGTACGTAGCGTGCGCCGCACCGCGTGCCGCGGCGCCAAATTCAAACTGCTTCTCCGCCACGCCGCGGCGCCGCGGCCTTCGCCAGAGCGGCCGACTTGAAAGCGAGTTCCTGTCCGTTGCAGGCATCATCTGCAGCGCGCACGCGTGGGGCGTGCTGGCCGACACGACGGGCCGGCGCCGCATCATGATCCGCGCGCTGCTGGCCGACGTGGTCGTGTCCACGCTGGCCTGCCTGGCGCCCAACTTCTGGACGCTGGTGGTGCTGCGGTTCTGCAACGGCGTGTGGTGAGTCCGCGAGAAGCAAAGCGAAGCAGAGAGCGTGCCGTGCCACTGTACCACTGTACACGCCAGTAATGAATGCCCGTGTGTAGCGTGAGCGCCCCCGCCGCCCTGGCCTACGCGTACCTCGGCGAGTTCAACACGCCGCCCAACAGGAACCGCGCCATCATCCTCGTGGGCTTCATCACCGCCTGCTCCGCCATCATCCTGCCAGGTGGGTGTTGTTCGCGCGCCACCGCGGCGGTCATTGCCCTGTGTTTGCTGGCGCTTGGCACATTGGCCTGGAGGGCATACGCTCTGGGGCGGACCCTCCCTATGCCTCGTCCGAACCGAAGGGTCATCACGGACCCGTCGGCCAGAACGTGTCCAGGGTTGTGTCCGCCCCGCCTCACACGGCCATGACGGCGTGCTCTCGGTGCAGGCCTGGCGTGGTCGGTGCTGCCCATGCAGTGGTCGCTGCCGCTGTACGCCGGCATGGGCTTCCGGTCGTGGCGCCTCTTCATCCTGGTGGGCGCCATCCCCGCGCTGCTGTCGGGACTGCTGCTCTTCTGGTTCCCGGAGTCCCCCAAGTTCCTTCTGGCCGTGGGCCGTCGCGAGGAGGCGCTGGCCGTGCTGCGGAGGGTGTACGCCGTCAACACGGGCAAGGACGACTTCCCGGTGAGTCTCGTCTCGCGCTCCTAGGTTTTAGCAATGTCGGCAGAAGGAGAAAACGTCCACCGGCACAAAGTTCGTCCGTCACGCGTGGAGCATACGGGCTCGTTTCGAAACTGGCCTGGTTTCAAACTTGTGACCTAAGTAGGGTCCTAAAAAGACTGGGATGTTGAGGGGGGTCACAGTGGCCACCCAAAGTCAGTGAAAGCCGACACTTGAAGACTTTCAATCACTTTTCGAACAAATTTGCTGCGTTCAGACTGTGACTGTGACTGCCTCTCAGGTCCGCGAGCTGACGGAGGACACGAGCTCCGTCATGGCCAACACGACGGACAGGTCCTTCCTGGCCCTGATGAAGATCGTGTGGGAGCAGACGGCGCCGCTGTTCCGGCCGCCCTACCTGCTGCACACTTTCCTTGTCTGCTTCATTCAGTTCGGCAACATCGCGAGGTGAGTCCATCCGGGACCAAGACGAGCGCGCTTTTCAAGGGCTCGCGAACGGTTGTTTGATTTTGGTTTGGCTGTGCCGGTTACAGTGCTAGCGGCCTGCTCATGTGGCTGCCGGAGCTGTTCAACTACCAGGCCAAGTACGGCGAGATCCACCCGGGCGCCGCCACCATCTGCGAGGCCGTGGCGGGCGTGCTGGCGGCGGAGCGCAACGCGTCGTCGGTGCTGGTGCGGGCGACGCGCGACGTCGGCGTCGTGGCCGTGTCCTCGGACGTGAGCGCCGTGCTGCAGGAGCCGTCGTGCGCGGGCGGCACCATCCTCACGCAGGTGTACATCAACGCCCTCATCATCGGCGTGGCCGACGCCATCGCGCCCGTCGCCGGCAGCCTCATCGTCAACAGCGTCGGCAAGCGCAACCTGCTGAGTGAGTGGACAAGGCGCGCCACGCCCCACAGTGGGCCAGAAACCCGGTGGAGGCGGCAAAAATTCAAGACGCGTTTTGAGCTCCAGAGTCGCTGAATGAGGCTCCAACCGAACGTGTGACCCCACCAATGGATTGCTCTCCGAACGAGGAATTCATTGGTGGGGTCACACGCTCGGTTCGAGTCCTGTTTCGCGACTCTGGAGCTCAGAACGCGTCTAGAATTGTAGTCGCCTCCACCGGTCTTCTGGCCCACTGTGCGCCCGATGGCATGCGAACAGCGCTAACGCCCTGTGCTTTCCTGTACCGCAGTCGTGTGCATGTGGGTGACGGGGGTCTCGGCCATCGCCGTCAACTTCGTGGGCTCCTACGAGGCCATCCTGGCGCTGGCGTGCGTCGTGATCGCCCTCACGGGCATGTGCATCGCCCACATCTCCAGCATCGTGGTGGACCTGTTCCCCACCAACTACCGGTGAGTCTCGGCCCCGGCCAACGCCTTGCCCTCCTATCGCGTTTCCTCGCGCTCAAGCTCGCGCAGCACTGACGGGGTCTGTTCGGCAGGGCCATGGCCGTGAGCCTGTCTCTCATGTTCGGTCGACTGGGCTCCATGGTGGGCAACTTCATCTTCGGCTCCCTGCTGGACAGCTACTGCGACGCGGCCTTCTACTTCTTCGGCGGCGTCCTCGTCCGTAAGTCTCGAGTTGTCTCCGCCCCTCTGCGGCCCCCGACAGAGAAAGACGAATGCACACCTCTCATTCTTTTTCCGCAGTGAACGGCGTGTTCGGGTGCTTGCTGCCGAAGCGGGGACGTTTCGCAAATTAGGATCAAGATTGGGCATCGACGCCGCCGCTTCCGCCCTGCCTCTCAATTTGAACACCGCACTGCGCCACGCGCGGCTACGCAGCTACGCGTCGCAGCGCACTGGATCGTGATCTCAGGGACCGCGCCCAAAGCCGCAAATCAGTATTTTTCTAATTTTGATACTACCTGTACCGAGTTGTCACTGTAAAATATGTATCTGTGTAAGGCCTTAACATAAGAGTTCGTGTGTAAGACTTATAGGTTTAGAGAGAAACGAATAAAGAGACGTATGCGCGCGAGGAATGTGTTTCATTGGCGAGGAAGGCAAAGCGCGACCCGTTAAATGACAAATGTCCACCGCGCCCATCCTTCCCAACCGGAAAGGAGTAACTTGAGACAGGCGAACAGATTTGCGGATTTTGCTCGGAGCGCAGCGCCAGCCCGCGCTCTATCAGCCGCCCAGAGCCTCCAGAGGGAGCGGAGGATGCAGACGTTGATGGATTAGGACTCATCCCGGGGCTGTACTGCGGGGCTGTGCGCGCCATGGCGGGCGCCGAGAGCTGCAGGCAGTAGACACACTGCCGCGCCACCCGCGCCGCGACAGCCACAGCGACCCAGTGCCAGCGCGGCCCGGCCAGGCACGGCCAGGCACGGCCGCCATCCACACGATCGGGACAATTTTTCATGCGCCGCTGACCGCGTGGACTTTAAACTCGTCAAGTGGACATAGAGCGAGGGGAGGTCGCGACGGCGGGGTGCTCGTGCTCGTCGGAGATGGATGGCGGGGATTTGTCGCCGGCCGCTGCGGGCCAGGGCCTCGGCCAGGGCCTGCTTCTTGTGCCCGACGCGTCTGCCCCTGACGGCCCAGGACAAAACAGAGGCCCTGCCCGAGACGGCAGGCACGGCCAGGCGCCGCCGTGCGTCCAATTTGGTCTCATTAACGGCGATGAGTCGCTTTGCAACGCAAAAACCTGGCGGACTTGCAGCGCCGGGGGTGGCGAGGCCACTTGGCCGTGGGAAAATGCAGAGAAGGTAATAGAACTTGCGAGAGTCGACTCCAGTCCACCGCTTGCCTGCGGTCCGGGCAGCTCAGGGGTAGGAGGAAATTCTGTAAACCCCCCCCCCCCCCGTATTCCAAGTTGACGAGAAAATGTGGAGTGATTCGGGGATTGGACCGCCCAGGCTGCGATCGAAGTATCATTCTGTCGATCGGTAACCCTGCACTTTCGGTAACTCATTCACCAGACAGAGGGTTTGCAGTCTCGAGTGTTATACCGGTGAATTCAAAATCGCCTTGGCTCGCCGTCTTTTCCGCTTCGCGCGATCAGCAAGAGTGATAAAAAGGCAGCCAAAAAACAAAAGAATAAAAAGCCGGTGGTTGGAGGGGCGTGCGCGACGCCGCGTGCGCGACGCCGCGTGGCCAGGCGTGCCGCGCCCCGCCGCGCCCTGCCGAACCCAACTTCTCCCCGAGGTCCAGTTATTTCATCCCCGCTGGGAGTGGGGCGACGGCGCGGTGACGGGTGAGGGGCAAGGAGGAAGGAGGGGGGGGGGGCATCGGGCCTGACTCAGCAGCCGGACACGTCCCGTCCCGAACGTCCCGGCCGTCCCGTGTGCGTCGCGCGTCGCCCCTCATCAGCAGTATATAATGTATGGAGAGGGCTCGGGTCGTGACAAGCACGCGTGATGTGACGTCACGTATGTCTTCTGACACGGGGCCTAACTGGACCATCCATTCGTTTCCCGCTGATCTCTACCCTGATCCACCCGGAGGCCGGCAGCCCTGCCCAGCCCTGCTCAGAAAACGCGCGCCCCACCCCACTGCACTCTGCTTCTCTTTCGGGCCGGAAACCACTTTATCCCTTTCCCGTGCCGGGCTGGCCCGCTGGCCCGCCAGCCCACTAGCCTAGCCTTTCGTCCGAACGACCAGCAGCTAGCAGCGATGCCCGAAAATGAGAGGGGAAGGGGCAGACCGGGCAGCACTCGGGCACGGGTACCAAGGCCACGCAGCGCGGCAGCGCCGCCCCGACGACGCCGCGCGCCGCCAAAACTATCCAAAAACTGTCCACACTGGCCGCCGACGCCGCCGACGCGCGCAACTCGGCGCGCGGAAAAAGAGTCGTTCCGGAAACGACGGCGTGGGTTCGCGGGAAAGAACGCCGCAAGCCGCGCGGCCACAGTGTTCGCGCGGACACAACTAACGGTGGGCACGGTTTGGGCTCCACACCCGGCAATGCGACGTGGCTTCGGGGCAGGTTCACGTGCGTGCCAATGGATGCCTCCAGCAAGCTCTCTATCGGCACTTTCAAGCGTTTCATTCGAGTTCCGTTTGAGGAGGTCCTTTGCGAGTGTTGCACCAACCCGGACGGCACTGTCCGGGTCAGTCCAGCTGGAAAGACGCTTTCGTGTATTTTCGGCATATTTCGGGAATTGGCAGTGTGCCGTGGAGCGCGCTGGAGAAGCGCGGATTCGAGGCGTTCTGTTGATTTATGCCCGTCACTCCGCCTCGCCCCGCCTCGCTCCGCCTCGCCCCGCTGCAGCAGCTGCCGGGAGGGGAATGGGCCGGCACACGCCGCCACGCCACCCTGTTTGGGTTTCGGGCTGCTTAAAAATGTCTGCAGCCCGGCCGCCTTATTTGTTTGCGTAATTAATGGCTCGCCGAATTGATGACTTAATGGCCGGCCCGCCGGGCCCCACCCCACCCCGCCCCGCCCCGCCCCGCCCCGCCCGGCCCCGCCCGGCCCCGCTCCGCTCGGCCCCACCCCGCCCCGCCTCGCGTTCCCGCAACACGAGACCCTCCCGGTCCTTCCCTCTCATCGCGCTTCTTAACGACCGCCGTCCTGTGATTGAATAACCGAATCAATTAGAGGCCCCCCGCCCTCCCCAGCCAGGCAACAGGAACATCCTCGGCAGAAGCAGCATCTAAGTGGCTCTAGTTTTCGTGTGAACAAGACGCGCGCCTTTCCCGAGGAGGGCTCGGGCGAAAGCAGTGCCACTCAGCCGTCCGAAAGTGGTCGGGAACAACACAGGGGTGTGCATCGCTTGTACGACCTCTTTTTGTCCGGGCGTATGTCGTTTGTCCGACCTTCTTTTGTCCGACCTGTCCAAATTTCACTTGCCCGTGAATCGGCTGAAAATTTTGTCCGACCCACTTACACCGCCACGCGGTCAGGCTGCAGCTAGAGAGCAATTTGGCGGCGCTCAATTGATCTAAACACCCGCGGCTCACTCACTATGTCAATCAAGACTGGATGCAGGACAATCCAAAGACATTATAAAACAAAATGTATTCAGAGTAACAGAAGTAAAATGAACACTATAAAGAAAATTTCAGCGAAAGAGGGCACCCCGGCGAACCGGCCCTCTTCCCCGCTGGCTTGGTGGACCAGTGGTTCCCCCATCTCATCACAGGAGCAACCTCAGAGTTAAACCGCAGTGGCCCCGTCATTGGTCACGTCATCTGTGATGTGGAGGAGTCCTCTCATAGTAGGCCAGGCTGCCACCTTTCCCAGTAGTCGGGTTTCGATCCCCGGCCCCCTTCCCACTCAGGGGCCATGCTACTGGTACTCAGGAGTCTGCGTCACCCTGCCCAGCAGCGGAACCACTGAGCTATGAGAGGCACACTGACCGCCGCCCGATTTTTATACTTGAACCGCCTTCTTGCGATGCAAGCTTGGTCAAAATATTCTTTACGGTGGTGGGTATCGAACCCCGGACCCCGCAGTCGGGACCCGACGCCTCTGCGCTCTCGGCCACCACGGCCCATGGGTAACGATGTGCGAAGGGGAGCATTTGAAGCCGCTGGTCCGAACCGTATAGTCAGACAAAAAGAGCGGGGAGCTAGTATTCGATCGCTCGACCCGAGTATAGGATTCAGAGATCTCAACACCTTCGGCCACCGAGGCTCGCCGGGTGAGCTGAGTGGCGTAACGGGTCCAAACCGCACCGGGAAAGCCACTCATAAAATGTAAAGAATTGCAGGGAGTCGAACCTCAGCCCCTGAAGTTGCGGGTCAACGCCTCTGCGCGCTCAGCCGTCGCTGTTGGCCTGTTAGAGGCACACTGAACGCCGCCCGATTTTGTATACTTGAACCGCCTTCTTGCGATGCAAGCTTGGTCAAAATATTTTTTACGGTGCTGGGTATCGAACCCCGGGCCCCGCAGTCGGGATACCCCACGCCTCTGCGCTCTCGGCCACCACAACCCATGAGTAATTTTGTGCGAAGGGGAGCATTCGAAGCCGCTGGTCAGAACAGTATATTCAGACAAAAGCGAGCGGAAAGCTAGTATTCGATCGCTCGATCCGAGTCAAGGATTCAGAGATCTCAACACCTTCGGCCACCGTGGCTCACCGGGTGAGCCGAGTGGCGCAACGGGTCCAAACCGCATTGGGAAAGCCACTCCTAAAATGTAAAGAATTGCTGGGAGTCGAACCCTAGCCCCTGCGCGTGATCATGATTTCCTCGGGATGCCACAGTGTGAAGCCAGAAGTGGGACTTACGACATAATTTTCTGGAACAGCGGCGGCTGAGCGCGTAGAGGCGTTGATCCGCGATCCGCTACTTCAGGGGCTGGGGTTCGACTCCCTGCAATCCTTTATATTTTATGAGTGGCTTTCCCGGTGCGGTTTGGACCCGTTACGCCACTCGGCTCACTCGGTGAGCCTCGGTGGCCGAAGCTGTTGAGACCTTTGAATCCTATACTCGGGTCGAGCGATCGAATACTAGCTTCCCGCTCTTTTTGTCTGACTATACGGTTCGGACCAGCGGCTTCAAATGCTCCCCTTCGCACATCGTTACCCATGGGCCGTGGTGGCCGAGAGCGCAGAGGCGTCGGGTCCCGACTGCGGGGTCCGGGGTTCGATACCCACCACCGTAAAGAATATTTTGACCAAGCTTGCATCGCAAGAAGGCGGTTCAAGTATACAAAATCGGGCGGCGGTCAGTGTGCCTCTCATAGCCCAGTGGTTCCGCTGCTGGGCAGGGTGACGCAGACTCCTGAGTACCAGTAGCATGGCCCCTGAGTGGGAAGGGGGCCGGGAACGAAACCCGACTACTGGGAAAGGTGGCAGCCTGGCCTACTATGAGAGGACTCCTCCACATCACAGATGACGTGACCAATGACGGGGCCACTGCGGTTTAACTCTGAGGTTGCTCCTGTGATGAGATGGGGGAACCACTGGTCCACCAAGCCAGCGGGGAAGAGGGCCGGTTCGCCGGGGTGCCCTCTTTCGCTGAAATTTTCTTTACAGTGTTCATTTTACTTCTGTTACTCTGAATACGCCATCAACTGTGGAGTGCGGC